TCTTCACAATAACCCAGGCCTAGTCCATCGGTTTTATCAGGATTCAAGTGTACTAAGCCGGCCTGATTCTAATGGTGTGATGACATCGGTGACCACTATGGAAGTAAGTTTTTGGTTGCCAAGTTTTTATTTTTTCTGGGTGTCATTGCCAAGAGTCTATGACATCAGAGACCACTTTGCAAGTATGGAACATTTGTTGAAAAATGTGCTAAAACCATCAAAGAGTACATTAATGAACAAATGCATGTTGGCGACTCATATAGGCAGTTCTTTTATGTTTGATGTTTTGGATACTCCGCTGAACTATTGAAGCACATTGATTGTTTACCTGATCATTTGTGCGTGGTCCCTTTTAAGTTTTGACCTGTTGCTTTTTTGTCCTGTTTAATACTTATTTGAATGTCCAGTCCTGCAGACATTTCCATGCTCTCAATTTCCCAAGGTCATTAGTCTTATTTTCTGTCAATTTTTTCTTGGAGCAGGGAATCAATGAGAAGATCCTTTCATTAAATTACAACGAATATAAGGCTGAGATAATGACTGCTGATGCTCAGAAGTCTTTTCAAGAAGGGGTGACTGTGTTAGTTACTGGATGTTTAACGGGAAAGGATAACTTGAAAAGGAAATTTGCCCAATCATTTTTTCTTGCCCCTCAAGACAATGGGTTCTTTGTATTGAATGATGTCTTTAGATTTGTGGAAGATGGACAACTGTTTGAAAACCATTCAGTTAATGAAGTTAATGATGCCACAACAGTCCTTTCAAGCCAGGATCCAGGTAATCCTATCATACATTTTCTGTTCTTTTTTGTTACTCTAGTTTTGGTATTGTAGCAGGAACTTGTTTACAATTCGTATTATTTGTTTGCAGAGCCAACTCATGTTCCTGATCCTCCTGCACCTGATCTGGAAACTACTCAAGTTGAAGAGAATTTAATTGTTGTTGAGAAAACTTATGACACATCGGGCCATGATAGACAATCTGCTAAAGAATCTGACGTGGAACCCCCATCTTATTCAAATGGAAACAATGACCCTGTGGCAGTTGAGCTGGATTCTATGACAGCACAAGAGGATACACCAAAGAAGTCGTATGCATCAATTGTGAGTTAAGGGGCACAAGTTTTTCCTTTAGCCATAATTTTTCTTAAAGACTTACAAAAGTTATCAAATGATATTGTAGGTTAGAGTTCCCAAAGGGAGTCCAGGGCCAAATAAGGTTTATGTGCCTACTAATACTGTAAGAGAGGCTCCTAAGGTAGCGGAAACTAGTTTGCCTGGGCCAACTGCACCTGCTTCGGTGCCTGAAGCATCAGCCCCAACTAGCACTAGTGCCCTAGAGAGTGGTGATACTAATGAGGAAGGTATGCTTGGTTTTTCTGACTTTTTCCCATTTCCCCTTTTTTCTTCTGTTTATATTTGCTAGTTTTTTTGTTTGAAAATCTAAATAAAACTAAAATATATTTTGCGTGTATCTAAATTTAATCGTTTTATTTTGTTTATATAATGACACATTTGCATTCGTTATAGTTGAGGGCTATTCTGTTTACATAAGGAATTTGCCTTTAAACGTGACGTCTGATCAGCTTGAGGAAGAATTCAAGAAATTTGGACCAATAAAGCAAGGAGGCGTCCAAGTCCGGAATAAGAAAGTTAGTGTTAAAATGTCTTGCATCCCAAAAGTATATCCTGCCCGGATCTAGATTTTCTGACACATTTCTCACCCCTTCCATACTATTTTGTATGTGCAGCTCCAGGGCCACTGTTTTGGATTTGTTGAGTTTGAGTCTTCAAGTTCCATGAATAGTGCCATCCAGGTAGGTCTATTTTTTTATTATTAATTTCTGCTCTCTGAAATATGATTTCTAAAAGATCTGGATGCTGCTGTATTATTAATTTCCCATTGTTCTCTCTTGATTTCTCTCTCTCCTGAAAACCAAGTCTGTCAGACTTGAACATTATGATTAGGATATGGCAATTCTTTCTTCCACTGTCTTCTTGTCGGGCTTGTATTTTGGTACTCTGTTCTATCAAGTTTAGATGGTCTTTCACTGTAGCCGATGTGAATTACAATCTTCATAGCGTGTTAGTTTAAGCTAAGTGCATGTAGTTTGAGTTGTCATAGTTTTAGGCTTTCAAATAAACTTCATTGTTGTTTTAAGTTTTTAGGAGTGCCTGTAAAACTTCATTCATGTTTCACTTATACTATTTCTGATGTTTGATTGGGTTTCTTCCGTATCTAATAAGAGAACCTAATGTTTCAGGCTTCACCAATCACTATTGGTGGCCGTCAAGCTGTCATCGAGATAAAGAGAACTACAACTCGAGGTAAGTGGACCTACAATTTATGCTTTTATCCTTCACTAATCCAATGGAATGCGTCATCGGAAGATATTTGAAAGCTCATGCACGTAGAATGCTTGTTTTTCCAGTTGGTAGTAGTGCAAGAGGTAGATTTCCTCCAGCTGGAAGGGGAGGGTTCCGGAATGACAGCTTTAGAGGCCGCGGGAACTATGGCGGTGGCCGGAGCTTTGGCAGAAGCGAGTATGTGAGCAGGGGCGAATTCTCAGGCCGAGGCAGAGGGGGTCCGGCCGGGCGCGGTGGAGATGTTTATCAGGTGCGAGGGAGGGGTGGACGTTCAAGTGGACCAAAGCAGAATGCTGTTGCTGCGTAAAAGCTAACACGTGCATTGTGTTTTTTTTTTTGCGGGAGCGTTTTAACAAAATTGGTTTCGTGATTGGTGCACTCGGAAGTGTTGACGGTAAGTAGTTTAATCATAATCTTATAAGATGAAAAGGCATCTTGCTGTAGGTTTAGGATTAATTTTTACCATTAGAGAATTTTGTCTCAATTGGGAATATGATGCAACTGTTCCCAGAAACTTGATGACATCCTCTGTTTTTCCGGCATAGTTGGTGTCTAGTGGCTGTAATCAGAAGACCCTAAAGAGTTCAATAGATGGGAATTTTTTTTGGGTATGCTTTGAATTGTTCATGGATTCACCAGTGATTTTTTGGTTTCGAGTTTTCGGTGTTTTTCTTCTCCTCCGTAGAGGGAACTTTCTAGTGTCAGAGGTTAAACTGTTGCGTGGTGTTACTAATTCATGTACTATAACGTTTGTAGATTAGCACCGCCACCTGCTTCAGTATGTCCTTGTGCCAAACGATTTTGATGTTTAATAGTAGCCCAAAGTTGTCTTGGGCCCTAAATCAATGTGCAATTGGGGAAACTATTTCTGTATGACAGTTTGATTGCTACGTGATGTTACTAGTTCACGGATTATAACATAATTGAATTGGCACCACTGTGTAAAGATGCAACCGTAAACAAGATAATTTTTCATGAATTTGGATATACCCAATAACCCAAATGTCGTAAAATGGTAGTAGTTGAATTTAATGTGTTATAACATGAGTGAATAGGTAATACTCCGATGACAAGAAATATGATAAATAATAATTACAATTTTTTCTTCTCTTACAAAATACTCAAATTTTCCAATAATTAGATTTAATAAGCGACATAATTAAACATAAATGTGTATAAACATATCGTTTCCTCAAAATTATTACTAAAGAATAGTGAGAAAAGGAAATGCCAGGAAAATCTTTTTTTTTTTCTTTTTAATTGTCCGATTGGATTTCTTTTTTATTAATTTAAATACAAAATTTAACTATCAACCGCAACATCACATGCGTAAAATATTATCTAAAAAGATGTTCTCGGTAACATTGCCCGTGAGAAAAATAATATATGAGCATCCGATATTTTTAATTTTATTTTCCCAAATTACGTGATAATTGGTCTGACAGGACGCGTGCGTGGGACACGCGAAGTGGACAAGTTCACTTTTCCTCGTGGGCGAATCCTCTGTGATATTTCCTTGTCTGCAACTTGGGCTCGCTGTCTCCATCCATTCCACGTGCCCCCTGACTGCGTGTCGACACGTGGCAGTTCTCTGATTGCAAGACATCGAGATAATAAACAACAATTGCAGCAAGTTGGCCCTCTTGGGGCTTTTGGGGTCCACACCTGAGCACCTCACACCGCCCTTTTGCGTGTCACTCTCACCTCCTCACCTCCTCCTCCGTTGGATTCTTCTGTCTTTGTCTTCCCTATCATTACATTTTTTTAATTAATTAATTAATTAGTTTAGCATTTAGTTTATGATCAATGATAAAGGTTTATTTAATTTATTACCCATAAGATTTGACCGTTGAATTCTGAACATGCCATGAGACTCTTTTCACACATTCAGTCGAATTATTTTGTCTAATTTCTCAACTTTATTTTCCTAAATCACTCTTTAAATATCAGTCTTGCAAATTATCGAGCAGATTCAAAATCGTTTAGTTATGCAACGATCATTGTAATAAAGATTTAATCTGTGTTAGTAAGGTGAACAATATTAATAGAAAAATCAAATAATTTTACACTTAGTAGATTTTTGTGCAAAGTTAATATGTAAATGTTAAACTATAAAATAGACTTTGATGCGATCATCACTTTAACTTTACAAAATACGAAAATTGAGATGGTCTATAAAATAGATCAAGAGTATCATCGAACATTGTGCGAATTAATTTTTATCAAACAATATATATGTTTAATTTTAAATAAAAATATTTAAAATAATTTCTGACCTCATAATATACGATAAACAAACACTATTTACAAATATTTATGACTCTCACAAAAAAATCCGGATTCGTTTATAGATGGATAGATTTTCACGCTTCGGATAAAGCGAAATGGCACTCGACGACGACGGGATTTTTTCCAAGCCACGTGGAGCGCTCTGACGTCACGACACGTGTCCCAGCAACCTAATCCAGTTAACCCAAGATTGGCGACGCATGTTGGGCCAGTGTCCTCACATCTGCCGTTTCCACAAGCCACGTGCTTGTCGGGGCTCTTCATGTTCTCCACGCGTCGCCACTCCACGACTCTCAGGGGCTTTTTCGGTATTCACATATCTGTTTGTTTTCTTTTCGTAAAAAGTCTATTTGTTTTCAATGTTCTTGGGAAAATGCTTGTAGATGTTCCTCTGCTTCATGGTCTTCGTCCTCTGGTGCAACTGAGATGGATTTTCTCGCCGTTTCCGTCGAAAATTCGCACCGAGAAAGTGCGGGAAAGTATGGGATTTGTGTTGCTGTGTTCGTGGAAACATGGCTGGAATCACCATTCGATGTAAACCATAAGATAAATTAAAATTTACTCAATTTTTCATATATTTTTAAAAAAATTTCTGCTGAATTTCTACTTCCCGATTTCGAAAATTTAAAACAATTCACCCTGGTAGCTTTGAATTTGACCATTTCGATTTGGGTTTCCGGCGGTTCTTCAATTTCTCAGTTTTTCACACTTTTCTGGTGAAATTCTACTTCTTTGTTCTGAATTCATGAAAAAAATTGATCTGGGTAGCTTTAGATTCGATTATTAGATTTGGGTTCCGGCGATTTTCTGCAATTTTTTTTTTTTTTCAATGGCGCAAACAGAGGAAGGCGGGAACATAGCAACCCAGCAGGTGTTCCCAATGCAAGGGAGTAATTTTCCGGGCGATTTGTATGGGCAAATGGTTGCCGGAAACAGTTTTCCGGGAAAATTCGGGGAGCCGACCTCTGAGGATTCGGAGGAGATTGAGCTGAGCCTGGGCCTGTCGCTGAACGGTCGGTTCGGAGTGGACCCCGCGAGAGCCAAAATGGTGGCTCTAAAACGCTCGTCGTCAATCTCCGATTTCGGTTTTACGCCGGCAAGAGAAGAAGAGACGACATGTCGTGTGTCAGGGCCGTCGCGCGCGGTACCTCTGATGAGGACTTGTTCTCTTCCGACGGAGACGGAGGAAGAGTGGAGGAAGAGGAAGGAGCTGCAGAGCTTGAGGAGAATGGAAGCGAAGAGGAAGAGGTCGGAGAAGCAGCTGAGGAACTTGAAGGTGCCGAGGGATCGGAGCCGGGAGAACGGCGGCGAGGAGGAGAAGGCGGCGGAAGTGGCGAATGGGGTTCATAGGAAAGAGCAGTTTGTGAGGGTTTTGGATGAGTTTAGAGCAATGGGGATGCCCAATTGTCCTGCTCCGCCGCTACTGGCGGCATCTCGAGGTAGTGGCTCAACTGGGATTTCGGAATCTGAGAGCCAAGCTGCTGCTACACCTCAAGGTATCCTCATTTCTAAACTTCTTTTTCCTTGTCGAGCGATATTCTATTCTAATCTAAATTGCACTGTTCTAGTCAACTTAACTACGCCCACATCGTTTCAATTTAATTGCAGTTGTTTCAATTGTTTTGAGTGAGTGATTGTGTAGGATCTTGAATTCTTACAAGAATTTTATTCATAGTTTCATCATGGTTTGAGATTTTCGAGTTTTTTGAAAAATGGCAATAGGCCTCCCCTTCCCTTCCCAATGGAAAGAGATCTTTTCCTCCAAGGCCCAGGATGAAGTGATCCGAACCTTTGAAATTTGATTCAAAGGCTAAAAACAGTGAAGATAGTAAAAAAATTTGATTGAAATTTGATTCAAAGGCTAAAAACAGTGAAGATAGTAAAAAAATTTTGATCAAATTTCAAAGGTCGGGATTACTTGATTGCTTTGGAGGAAAAGATCCATAGGATCTCTTTCCCTTCCCAATTAGGTACTAAATGTGCACCCAATTCGTATAATGGTAATGTTTGGCAGTGTACTTACTATAGTTTTTGGTAATTCTGAATTGCCTTTCTCGATGAACCGGTTGAGGGTGCTGCTAGCATGTTCTTAGGGGTTTTTATGTGTAATGGGTCTAACCTTGTTACAATGTAACCTAAGTTTTCTATGAGACCTAGTGATAAGTATCGTCTCGAGTGAAATTCTAGATTAGTAGTTTCGCATGATTGACTTTGTTTAGGCGCCTTTTACATTCGTTTGGGGCAGCTCAACGGCGCTCCCTTAGATCCTCTCTTTGGTGCTTTACCACCAAAGCTCCTTATTGTTGAGAGTTGTCCCACATCGGTGAGGGACCAGGTTTGCTATGTACTTATATGATCTTGGGTTACTTCCCAATATGGCCAATTGGTTTTATGGGGGAACCTGAATTTCATCACTTATCCACTTTACCTTCCTGTAAAACCTTAAAGGCCTAGAGTAAGAACTTCGTCTCTTAAAGCGTCTAGGGGAAGTGGCAAACTAGTTCACGAAACTAGCTTTAAACAAAGAAGTGGTTGCAGAGATTAACACAAGTAAATTATGATGTGCCATTGAGTCTGTGATATGGACTAGAAGCACATTGAAAAACAAAGGGTCCGAGTTTCTATATCGTCAATGATGTAATAGATTCCGGTTGATGTTTATCAACCGATTTCCTCATGTTGCAGATGGATAGGATCTGTTAAAATCTGTTTCTGGACTGTGTTGTCATAGCCCGTGTGTTATCTCACATTTTACCTCTGGATATGCAAATGCAGGAGTGCACAAATGCACCGAAGCAAGAAGCCACGCCGAAGCTCAGTCTTCGCCAAAGACTGAGAAGGAACTGCTAGCGACACCAAGGATGATAACCGCTCAGGGATCAGGTCAGTTCATTGGAGTCCAAATGGAAATCAACTGTAATAAACCCCCAGTTCCAGAAGCCGGCCCCAACGAAATCATGAGGAACGTGTTGGAGAACATGCCCTGTGTGTCTACGACAGGAGATGGCCCTGACGGGAAAAGAATAGAAGGGTTTCTTTACAGATACAAGAAGGGTGAGGAAGTGAGGATAGTATGCGTTTGCCATGGCAGCTTTCTCTCACCGGCGGAGTTTGTGAAGCATGCCGGCGGAGGTGACGTGGAGCACCCGTTGAAGCATATAGTGGTGAATCCTAGTCCGTTATTGTAGTTGCTAGTGCCCTTTTGGACCATGTCAAAACCTAGATGTGAGGACGAGGAAGGAAGTAGGGAAAGATGCATCAATGTTGCTTTTACCGTTTGTTTTTTTGGTATATTTAAATTTGGTCTTTCAATGGATTTGTGGGCACTTGTATTGAACTCGGTACATGAAGCTTCTTGTTGGAAGGCTATGATGTTTATAAACTTGGCAGACTCGAAATAGGTCGTTCAGTTCTATTTTGTTAGTATTTTCATTTTTTACTTTATTAACTTTTAGTCTAAATAATGTTAGAAATAAACACTTTGACAATTAAAACATTCGTTTTAAATTAATTCTGTTACTATTCATTTTACCTTTTATTTTGTTCTTATTGTTAAAACTCAAAATTTTCAATCTATTTTTATTAGTTTTCCATTAAAACAAACGGAAGAGGCACTTTACCACACTAGTTCTATAGTTTTGTGATATTCATTTAAATAGGGGACCAGCTGGTGAGTTTGTAACGACAGTCCACTATTCCGGGGTTGAGAAAAGTCAGAGATGTATTTTAGTCTCTCCTGCTCACCATCGAGTGATTCACCGAATTTGGGAATCAAACTCATAAAGTACTGTATGAAATATAAGTTTGAAATTAGTCCTCAAACCACTAGCCACATACCGTGGTGACTAAGTGGGTCTCTTAAGTTCGACTCCCATGAACGATGAGTTCAATACTTAATTATGTATGGCTTATTTGGGTTTAGTATTAATCTTGATGCCGCAACATGTTTGTATCGAACATAAAACGAGGGAAATGATTTATGCATATATCGTTTTTTACTTCTTCCATACTTTTTCAGCTGCTAAATTAAACAATCAGAAAAATTTCAACGACCATGATTAAATGGGTGAGCAGAAACTTAAAACGAACGTGCAAAAATTACTTCCATAAAATAAAGTTTCCAAGGACGCTTAATAGTTTCTCATTTTGAGGGGATTATTTTAATTAATTTGTTGAAAGTGATATACCTCCATTAGAAAAAGAGGTAACGAGAAAAAATAGGGATCGCGTTGCTGTTATGCGTACGGAGGGAAAGAAAAAGTTAGGTTGCCAATTATTCTATCTTCCTACCAACCAGTTAGGTTGTCCCCAGATGACTCTCGTCGCATGGGGTTGCTTCTAAACTACCCTCCCTTTTTAAAAGTGAAAACGATGCCAGACCCACCGACAAGCATTGCACTTGAAAGTGGAAAAATAATTAACTTCCAAGTACCATAACACGCGTATAAAACAAGGAACGGAACACGGGACCTCGAGTGCATGAGCGATGGAGGCTCTTAGCCAAAGGCCATACAGATTACTATATGTCATACCGATGCAGGCCTCGTTCGCCAGCTAATGAGGGCTGAAGTTGCTTACACCGCGACTCAGTCCGCCACTACTGTTGAGAGAAGAGGACCTGCATGCCATAACCAGCAGTAGAGCCCATGCAACAATGTCGAACCTCCCTTGGTCCCTCGGGCCTCAGCAACAATGTCGAATCTCTTTTAATCCCTCCATGGCGGACAAAGCAGCCTCTTGTTTGTCTGGCTGGAAGCAAGGCTGAAATGGGAGGATAACAAGTGTCCAAATCTTGTCCCTGGAAAGTCGAGAAATACAAATTATGAGCATACTCGGAAGTACGAACACAGTATCTTAAACTCATTAGTGATAGCATGGTAACAATAAAAGAGAATAAGGACTTCACCTCCAATAGCTTCCTCTCCGACAGAAACCGCTCGCACGGGCATTGTAACAATCCTCCACAGAAGACTTCTAGAGGATGGTCGTAGTCATTGCAGCAGCACAAGATATCAAGGAATTGGATATCATATCCTCGGATAGGTCACGACTGATCATTTTGGTGCATCATATAACAGATATGAATAACTCGACCACGCTAAACAATTTCGATAATTTCCAGAAAACATGTCTACTCTCTGTGTTATTGAACAAATGAAGCTGAATATACACGTATAAGACGAGGAAATGGAATATCTGCATTCTTCTGCAGATTCATTGGCCAGGCCCCTAATCAGAGAAGCAACATTGAAAAAATTGGGGGCAGAACTATCATACAATGTACAAGTGGGATCACAAGGTTCAGAAATCAACCTAACGCCAGTGTCCCCAAAAGCACACTGAATGCGCAGGCACATAAAAATTGGAGCTCCTTTCTACAAACTGCTAATGTTAACCAATACAAACCTTGTAAAGCAGCTAACAGGATGGAGGCTGAAGTTGCTTAAGCCGTCGTACAACTTGCCTCATTGTAGGCCTGGTTGAGAGAGACTCAACCGTGCACACTACTGCCAAGTGCAGAACTTCTACTAAATCATCATGAGGGCCTGCATCCCATAACCCAGCAGTGAAGAATTCCTTTGCACGGCCTTGCCGAAGAAGCATACATGACCATTGAACGATGTTGAATCCATTTCCATATGAAGAGAAAGAGGGATCCAGTGCCTTCTTGTCAGAGAGTAACTCCAGAAGCACAACGCCATAACTATATACATCAGCCTTATCTGAAACACGGCAAGTCATTGCATATTCTGGGGCAACATATCCAAAAGTTCCAGCAACGCCAGTAGTAGCATGGGTCTCCGAAGTTCCCAGAAGTCTGGCCAAACCAAAGTCTGAGAGATACGCATTAAAATCATCATCCAACAAAATATTGCTCGGCTTGACGTCACGATGAAGGACACGTGGTACGCACTGATCATGTAGGTAGGCAAGTGCACGGGCTATGTCCAAAGCAATCTTGTGAAGTACCCTCCAATCCACAGCCCTTGTTGACCTTTCCTGAATAAACTTTTCCAAATTACCACCCGCCAAGTAGTTGTAAATTAGAAACATCTCTGTATCACTGGCATGATAACCAAGCAAAGTGACAAGATTTGGATGGCGAAGCCTTCCAAGGGTTTTGATTTCTGCATGAAATTGTTGAACTCCTTGGAACCTTCCAACTGAAAGCCGTTTAATTGCCACCACGACTCCAGGTGATATCTCTGCCTTGTAGGTAGCTCCAAAACCTCCATTCCCAATACAGTTACTAGCATTGAAACCTCCTGTGGCTCCCACAACATTCTCAAAGGTCAATGGAACCCCAATGTTCGTGAAAATTGTAACTTCCTTCCTGGTAGAACCTTGAGTTCCAGACTTTGGATTCCATTTCCGTGTATACAAGAACAGAATAACAAGAGCAATAAGCACCGAAACTATGGCCGATGCAGATGTAATGGATGCTATTTCAATTGAATTGAAACTGTTCCCAGTCTTCTGAGCTGGACCTCCCACTGGTGAAGCAGCAAAAGGTTGTGAATCACCAACTCGTCCTTGAGAATCCGGAGCTGGCTGTGCCAGAGAAAACATGGGGCAAGAGTCTAGATTTGGGTTTCCAATAGCAGCATTGCATTTCATCAGGTTATTATTCGCAGGCAGTGAACCTGTGATGTTATTGAAAGACACATTGAAAGATGACAGTGTGGTCACATTTGCCAATCCAGATGGAATCTGACCAGAAATATTATTCTTGTCGAGCAGAAGAACAGTCAGGTTTCGCAGATTCACAAGATCTTTTGGTATCTCACCAGTCAGATAGTTTGAAGAAAGTTCAAGCACTTCTAAAGAGGTCAGCTGCCCCAAACTAGACGGAATGACACCTGTAAGGAGATTGCCAGATAAGGAAAGATACATCAGATTACTTATCTGGCCAAGACTGGTCGGGATTTCACCCCTCAACATGTTCCAACTCAAATTAAGGGCGACAAGAGACAGTTTCCCGATGGTAGAGGGAATTGGACCAATAATCTGATTCCGAGATGCATCTAAACCTTTAAGAGATTTGCACATAGTGCCAATTTCAGCAGGAATCTGACCTTCTAACTTGTTGTGGCTTACATTAACAATCAGCCACTCCAATCCCTCACACTTGCCAAATAATTTACCTGGAAATTCTCCAGAAATCTTGTTTTCTCCAGCAAAGAATGCATAAAAAGTTTGTTTCCCTAGTCTTTCAGGTGCAATAGGCAGCGTCTGCAAAGTGCCGGTAAAATTATTGTGCGCGAAGTTGTGTACTACCATAAGACTGTCACCCTCCCCGTGCATTTGCAATGGATTTCCAACTTGGGATTTAGAAGTGAAAAATGCAACATAGGTTGAGGATGGATCCTCAGACTTGAAAGAAAAATCTCCAAAAGGAGAAGCACAAGTTCTGTTGACATATTCAGGTATTGAACCTGACAAGATGTTTCCGCTGATATCAAACATAACCATACAAGGAACATGAAGATCCTGAACAAGATCCCCACTAAGCATGTTAGAGCTCACGTCAAGAAACTGAAGCTTCCTGCAGCGACTAAGTCCACTAGTAAATTCCCCAGTCAAAAAGTTCTGAGCCAAATTGATCATCTCTAAGTACTCACAACCACCCCAATTGCTTGGGAAAGTGCCCTCAATACTTGCCCTTGGTGCCCACAAGATCCTTAGCTTTGGAAGGGTTGTGATTTCTACAGGCATTGTACCTTGAAAGTAATTGAAGTCGTCATTCATAGCATTCGACTGCTCCAGCAAAGAGTCCACTACGGTATGGTTACCTCGTGGAAGTGGATTAAACATAGATGACAGCACAAGGACAGACAACTGAGAACAATTCCCCAGCTCACGTGGCAATGAACTACTCAGGGTATTCCTCGACACATCCAACACTTCCAGAGCTTGAAGCTGTCCGAGTTCAGCTGGAATACCCTGTTCAAACATATTTGAATACAGCAACAACGTCCTCAACTGGCTGCAATTTCCCAAACTGCTTGGAATGTTATGAACCAAGAAATTACCCGACAAATCAAGATGCTCAAGCTTCCCACAATTTGCTCCAATCTTGCTGGGAACATCTCCACTAAGTGAATTGTATGACAAGTACACCGCCTTTAACCTACCAATGAAACCTGGAACGGTTCCGTTTATGAGATTCCCAGCTAAACTCAAGATCTCTAGGCTCATATAATTTGACCATGAGGTCGGTATCTCACCTTTAATCATATTAAACCCTAGATTAAGAACCCTCAAATTTGGATTAAGCTGAGAGGGCAGCGACCCAGTTACCCAGTTTCCCTCAAGATCAAGAACCTCCAAGTTTTCCAAGCCCAAAACTTCACTAGGAATTTCACCATCAAAACCATTGAAGGGGAGGGACAAGACCCTAAGCTCAGTGAGCTTACCAATTACACAGGGGAGCTTCCCAGCCAATCTTCCTCTACTACCCTCACAGCTCCTTCTGATTCCGAATCCATAAAGCGGCAACTGAGAAAAATCTGAGCACGCAATAGTTTTCGATCTACCTTCGGTTTCTCCGCCATTCCCAGTAACGTTGAGCGAAACCACTCGAGAATTTGAGTTGCAGAAGACGCCGGTCCATGAGCAATGACCAGAACTGAGCCGACCGTTCCAGCCAGAAAGCAAGCCTGAAGGATCCAAGACAGAGTTTTTTAGCTCCAGAAGCACCGATGCGTCAGTATCAGCGAGAACAGCACAGTTCTGGGAACTACAGAACACCCACAAGAGCAAAACAAGCTTCAGAACAAACACTGGACAATAGGGTCTGCGAAAAAAATGTCCTTTGATGACCGAAGAGGAAGACGGAGAAAAACCCATCTCTCGAAACCCTTTTCTGCTAAGCGGTTCGCTGCGAAAATTACAAAATCATACACAAATTTAGCATAAATCTTGAAATTAAGGAAATGACTTAACACTATAACGATTCAAAAGCATTGAAATTTAACTCACAATTCTTACAATTTCAGCTTAGAATTATGACCATAACTCTTCAGTTGCTCGACCCCTTCTTGCTTTTACATGAATGCCGTCTTTCGGAGGCCATGGGGGCTGCAACAAATTAACATGGAAATTTTCATTTCCCACTACCAACTGTACGGACACAAAGATCGCTACTTTAACTAATGCTCTACTGACCAGTGAAAAACCCAAAAACTCGGAACCAAATCCAAATCGGAAACTTGGGTAAATTTAACATCACACTATAGGTACCTTCGCAGCAGTAGGAGTAAAATCCTTTGCTTTTCCTTTGAAATATGCTTTTTCTTGTCCTGGAACTCAAATCCAATCGATGTAAGCTACCAGCGCGGTGTTGCTAATCGGATTTTGCTCAGAGACTGCGTATTCCTCTTGAAAATTGGGGAATTCATGTCGATCCTGCGGCGGAGAAAAGAGTCTTCGGAACCCAAGAGATCAAAACCCCAAAAACCCTTCCCATGGACTTGCACACCCTTTCCTTGCACAGAAAGAGTAAGGGGTTCATGGAAACCCTAACCCTAAATTAGTTGGTCCCTGAAGAGAGAGAGAGAGAGAGAGAGAGAGAGAGAGATTGAGCCGAGGAGGAGGAGGAGAGAGAGAGAGTCAAGTCATTCAGCTGTGTTTCTTACGGGAAGAAAACGCGTTCTTCTTTGTCTCCCATTTTTTTTTCTTTCTATTTCATGTTTCTTCCTTTTCTTCTTTGTTTTTTATTTTTGTTTTCAATTAAAAAAAGGGTAAATTCTTCACATTTTCGCGGTCGTGTCGCATTTGGTGGGTGCTGGGGCCCACTAGACATGCATAGAGAGGACGGGGTCCACCGCCGGTCAATAAATGCACTCAAAAATGGCGTACTTAAGCCGGTCCGTCAACGTGGCGGCTTCGTCAACAGATAACGAAATGTCATGTGTTTCAAATTTATACGTGTGAATGAAGTGCGCAATTTGCTAAATTGCTATTACCCTGTAAATATCAGTTGATTAGCTTTAAAATACCGTCACCAACGCGTTCAGTGATAAAGTTATTCTACTTAGTGACACGGGACTTTGTTACGTGCTTTGGAGTATCCGATACTTCAGTGTTTTAACTGTAAAATCCTTATTTAAAATTTAAAATTTTGAAATTTATAGTTAATACAACCGAAGCACTGGGGCTCTTTGGAGGTTTATGTGAGTGAGAAGGGGTTAAAGAATTCCTCACGGCTCAAAACCCGCATATTTTTAGTGTATCGGAAATTCGTTTCAATACACCAAATATCATAATAAATTTTGTTAAAAATTTTTGTCTCAAATTTTTAACTAATTATATTATTATACATGATGCATTCGATCGTGTTTCTAACACACTAAAATCCCTCTCTTTTTAATAGGGTGTTGGGGTCTACTCTACTGTTGATGAGGTCCAGATAGGCAAAGGAATGCGATTGATTGTGCTTTAATTTTTTGGAAAGTTACGAGCTTGGAATGCGATTGATAGGTATTTGATGTGTACATACTACTTTTACCCAAAACAAGAGAAAAATCCCGGGCAGAGAAGTGCATGTGTTCCTTCCACCAAATAAAGATTGTTATCCCTTATTTCGTGGTTAAGATTGATTCTACACAACAACGGATTTGTGGCGTAAGTGATTAAAAATTACGGCTTTCGCATCAGAGAATAGTGTTATAAAGATGATTATAAGATCACGGATCTTATAAATGTTGGTGAAGGAGCATGACGCTCTCAGTGTCTATGTCTTTATGTTGTTTTTGAAGACTTTTTTTTGTTTAGATAACTGAAAATATTAATGCATGTGTGATTGGTTTCTCGATTCTAAACAAGATTGATACTGCTTATTTATTACAAAATAAATAAGATACTCAATCCTAATAAAATCCTATTTTCAAAGAGTTGTGGAAGTTCTATCATCTTGTTTTCCTTCTAGCGTGAGTTATATAATAAGGGTTTAGTTGATTGACAAGATCCTATATCTTATGCACCAGCAAAGCCACCTTGATTGCTTGGTTTTCAAGTTTTTATCAACAGAACGGAACTTTTTTATTTGATATATACAGTTGTGCATTCAAATTCAGAGTTTTACCTACAAAAGTAAACGCTTTTAACTAATTGAGTTACACAATCATTGCAATAAAATTGGGTATCATCCTCCTATAACAACATTCTCTTTCATACATTTCAACCGAACGATACGATCTCCGAAAGCGACTTTTGCTAAAACTCGAGAAGTTTTGAAAACTCGTTCCCAATATGATACTTGGACCCGTTCGTTCAGCTCCCAACAATCCAGTTAGTTCTCCGTGAGTGTTGTTTTTCAAATTAAGAGTGTTGCTTTTCAAATTCTTTGTTTAAAGTTCTACATAAATTATCATATATATGGTGGGCAAAGGATGCACGTATAAACATACTCTATTGAAAAAGCAACTGCATATATAAAAATTGTAGGCTTTTCTCAGCATCCAGATCGGTTGCTTTTTAGATGTTTTGTCACGTACCTAAAGTTCCTAAACAGAAAGTTCACACCTCCACCTCATAAGAAAAAGCCAACTTTGAAATTTGAACATGTTGATTAGACAATCCTGACGTAGGAGTGACGTTCTTTAACTTGCACACCAAACACCCAATAGTATCACACACCGTCACGTATTATTATTAGAGCATGTGCTATAACATAGTTGTACAACAATGGTAATATTTCATGGACCTGACCGAATTGCATCCTTACAGGGTATATGTAAATGTTGGTCATGTACCGAAAAAACACTTGATAATACCAATATGGTTACGTTTGTTATCAATCTTACTCCAATCTAGTCAAATTTTTCTATATTTGCCCATGTGCATTGGTGAAATGTCGTTTTAAGGGAACTGAAACTTAATTGGCCCTTGAACTAGGCTTAAAATGACTATTTTTTCTCTGTAAGTGATTGTGTGTGCGAGAAAAATTTGGAGAGTTCAATTAAAATTTCACCACATACACACCAAACCAAAGAAAAATTAGATGCGTTTTAAGCAGAAGTATATATCAATGGTAGTGTCAAGTGAAAAACCAACTGCTCTATGTACATGATATAGATCTATCTACAACATTTTTCAATCTACAGTCAAACATCATAGAGTATAGATCTCTAAGTACATCAACTTTCACTTTTTCATCACTCTCTTGGTTTCTTCTTTTTCTGTGGCTTCTCATCAACCCAAACCCTAGTTGGAGTTCCAAATCTAACCCTAGGGGAACTCCACCACTTGGACAAGCCTTGAGATTCTTTGAAACTTGGGCAGGAAGCAACTTTGAAATCCAAAGCATCAGACTACCTATGAAGGCTTTTTAGATCAACGGCGGGCGGTGCAACAACAGAAGCACGAAAACCAACTAGTTGTTTGAGTTGTGGCTGCCTTTAGGGGTGTTTCGGGGGCTTCAGTCCCTACTTGCTTATGCATCTCCTGCTGTGCGTGCGCTGACTGTAGCTTTCCTGAGTTCATTTCTGCAGGGATATTGCTTTCAACCTCATGACTTGCCAACCTGAAAAACACTTACTGTTATCAGTTCAAAGCGTATTGACAAGTTATTAATACATTATCAACAACATTGATACAAATCTCTCATTTAATAAAGAAGGGACGTCTTGCACTAAGAATTTCTATTGTGCAAGAATCATATGCAGTAATTTTCCTGAAATTTTGGATGATATGTTTTGATTAAATTTGAGAGGGACTGCCTTCCCTTCAGAAGGCTCAATTTGCAATATTTCAAGTATTCTATTCCTGCATTGCAGAGTGAACAAATACCAGATAATCCTATCTGCATGGAAATGAAATTAACAATGCTTACACTGGAAACTGGAATGACTTGGTGCTGTTATTGCTCCCATCAGATTGGTATGAAGCAGCAGAATTCCGAATTTCTCCAATAAGAGGCACCTTTCCCTTTTTGACGGCTTCTATCTTTGCAGATTCATCTAGTCCTTCTGTTTCTTCTACTGATTCCGTTTCCACATTTTCCCTCATGCTTTCAACCTTATATTCCACATTTGCACTCTCATTTTCTTCGATTTTTGCCTCCACGTTCGGAGCCTTGTTTTCAACCTTTTCTTTCTCCACATTGTGAATCTTTATTTCAATAGTTTCTACCTCAGTAACTGTGGGAAGTGGAGTTGGAATGTAGATGTATTCATCATGCCTCGTCAGTTCACCGGATTTATAAAGCTCTCCGGATTTGTAAAGCTCTCCGGATTTATTCAGCAAAGTGAATTGATCTCTCGAGAAGCTGTTGTTCCCCACATGAAGACTAAACAATGATTCATTTGAAGCAACACTCCAATCCATGCCTGCTGGTGGTTTACTGGCGAAAATATTCGATGGGATTCGACTCGGGTCATATCCTGCAGGCCTTCCCATCATCTGAAACGGAGAAGATTGCTCAGATGATCCGCTTTGCATGCTCCCAGGCAGACTCGGAGAAGAATAACCCTCTGGTAATGATAGAGCCCCCTGAGACTCCTCGTCTGGTCGTGTCGTTGTTACGCATGGATTGTTGCCATCTTTTTTGTCATTGACAAATGATTCCAGCGATGAACGTGGAGATGACGATGATGATGATGATGGTGATGATGACGAGGATGATGGGCAGCTTGAATTTCGGCGGTAATTAACCGCATTGCTTTCAAAATTCACCCTTAGATGCTTATTACCACATTCATCCCTATATGCATCATCCATGAGTTTATAATTTGCAACAGTTGATTATCTTCAAAGCCTGTCTCTAATTGATATTTAACTGCATGGTATGAACAATATCAACAATAATGAACTATTTATACACAATATGACAACAAAAATGAAAGAACAAAAATCTGGTTAATTGCTGGTTTTTATGCAAACACGTTGAGGGCTAAATGCAGCATTTCAATAATCATCACAAGCATACTTTCACATATGGTAGCACTTTAAACATCCTAATCATATCCAGATGTAGGCTAAGTCAGTTGTCAGGGTAGTATGCATGCCTTGTGCAACCAAGTTCGAACCCTTCTCCCCGTAAATAAAAGTAAATTATAGAAGAAGAATAAACATCACAATCTTATACTTATACAAAAATCTTTCAAAATTTCAAGCAAAACCCTAATCTTAATCTGAATCATGCATAAAGGTTAATCACAAAGCAAACCCTAAGAGATGCATATCTTTGATTCCGGAAACTGGGTTTTGAGCAACAAACTTACCACGAAATGGAAACCCAAAATAATCAACACATGTAAATAAAAGGTCATTACTTGAATCTTCGAAAACCCGTTTCGATATCGAACCTGTAACTCAAATCAAACCCAGAAGATCTTCGAGATAAAAGCCGAATACCCTCGAAAATCACAGTTATCGTGATTCAAAAGATGGTACAATTTGGGGCTTGGAAACAAAGGAGATAAAATGGGGTGCCAAAGGAGACAACCTCGGAGGGTTCCTTACTTTGTTATTGTGAAACAAAAGTAACAAACTGATCAGATGGAAGGTCTTCTGTTGCCATTTTTACTAACCGACTAACTGACAGGAACTCTTGTGAACCAAAAAGATAAAAGTGACAAACCAACCGGTTCACGCGGGAAATATAAGAAGAGGGTCTAGAAGTTGGCCCCACTTGTGGAGTAGGCCCATTTGATATCATGGGCTTAATTGGCTTGGCCCATTTTGAAGCCCAAGTAAAAATTGTCTGAGGAAGGGAGGGGTAGAATTGAAAATACAATGGAATATGAGGGTGACAAGTTTAGACTACCAGAGGCTGAGTTTTAACATGTTATCTGCAAAATCTTGTTTTGATTCAACATGCTTTTGGATTTGGAATTTTAGTACCAAGAAGCTGAAATTTGCAGGAAAAATGGTTTCAATGGAAGGAGCTTTGAAGAAGCAGTTGTTCCATGGTGGATTTCAGACCTTTAACTGTAAGCTCTGCTCTTTTTTATATCTAGACCTTTTGAAACTAAATGTATATATATTTTAGAAAATAATGCCCTATCACCAACGACGTTATTAATGTATATGTGATAAGAGAGACAGACGCATAGTTGTATATAACCAGTGACTCAACAATCTTTTCGAAAAATTCAGTCTATTACTCAATTTGCATTTACTACTTTATGTTCTTGAGCACTTAGCATATTCTAAAATCACTAACAGCATTATACTTGCAGGTAAAGAAGGTACAAAGCACCGGATTCGAGCTCCGTTGATGCAGTTAATGGCAACAGGAAAAAATGATGAGTCTGAGTACATGAGTTCTTCAGTTCATCTTAATCTGTTTAAAACAAGGAGCGTGCAAAGAGATGCAGTCAAGGTAATATTAGTATTCATGTACCTTTAAAAGAATAGTGTATTCATGTATACATGAAATTCGGACTCAAAACCTTTACTTTGTCAGCAAACCTAGGCGTAGTCATGTTGACTAGAGTGGATACTCCTTCTCCGTAGTTAAGATTCAATTAAAGTAGAATACCGCTTGAATCAACGAGGACAAGTTTTTACTTCGGCATGAAATCCTAGTTTGAAAATTTGCGTTGCAATTTTTGGACAGGTTTGTGCAGTGAGGAGGAGAAGGATATACCATAATAGTGAAACTTATGTGTTACTGGAGCCAGGAGAGGATGAGAAGTTTGTTTCAGAGGATGAGCTGAGGGACAAGTTAAAAGGTTGGCTGGAGAACTGGCCAGCCAAGAACCTTCCTCCTGACCTTGCAAGATTCGAAAGCATCGACGACGCCGTTTCTTATCTAGTGAGGTCTGTTTGTGAACTTGAAATTCATGGAGATGTAGGTTCAGTCCAGTGGTACGAAGTTCGAATGGAGTGAGAATATCATTCAAGCCTTTGAAGATTAAAAGTTTTTCTTTTGGCTCAAGGAATTGAGAGTATGATTATATTTACTGAGATTAGTAGTTAGTAAAGCATAATCACAAATTGTAATAGCTACACCCTCGGGGATAGTTTTGTTTTGTAACATCCTACCAGAGCATATACGTGTTCTCACGTCATCTAGAACACGTGTTAGGCTCGAGAGATTAAGAAGACATGTTGAGACTATTTTCACATGAATACACGTGTTAGGCCATACGAGTTCTCATGCCACCCAACAAAAATTGAACACGTGTTAGGCTAAAGAGACATGTTGAGAGTATCCCACATTGGAGATAAAAGTCTTACTTAAAGTGCATAAACGATCTTGTGTCTAAATACACAGTGTCAATTGGTTTTGTGTCGGAAGCTCAAATTCTAACAGAAATAAGGCATGGTTTCAACTAGAACAAGGGCAAGTACAAAATCATTGACACAAGTTTTTTGGTACAATCGAACACGAGTGAGTGTGAATGAGCATGAGGAGGATATGTTGAAAAATCTTATCATTCATTCACCAGAAACACTACTGTTTCCAAAATGCACGCTGATAAAATCACATACAACCATCAACTTCCACCGAGCCTGAAACAGTGGAAGTTGAAACAAACAGAGAAAAAAAGCTGTTGGAAAAAGTCCCAAAAGTGCTTTTCCTTATAGCCTTCAATTATCGCACCCAAACTTTAATTCAGAAGTTGGACCACATCCCACACCTTCAATTCCTGAATCTGCTACAGTGACCCAAAAAAAAAAGCCCAATTGAATTTTCTGCATCACGATTATTACTAATGTTCATGCAGTGATATAATATGTATGTATGTACCTTGAGGAGGTTTGAGTAGATTTATGCTAGGGGGCAAGAGGGCACCACCCCTTCTGTTTCTGGCAAGAAGGCCTTGTGTTACAGGGGACATTATCATATCGGTTGGGCTAGTATACCTACAAAATTTTAAAATGTACATCATACATAATCATAAATCTCATGTATAGGATGTCTAATCAAGAACAAACTGCATCCATATCTACATATTATCGATAATATATATGTGTGCATGTGCTATAATTTTATATGTCAATATGAATAGAAGATTTAATACCTTTCTGGGAACTTAAATGCCTTGGGGACCTTAAGGCGATCCGGCATGGTGGTTTTGCGTAAATCGTTGCCGGAGTTTTGAGAATTTTCATCCTTGTGTTGAAGCGGAGGCGGTGGCGTTATGCACTCGGAAAATGTCTTCTCTGGCTGAGTTGGGCTCATAGGAGGCACTTCTGGTAGGTTCTCCATAGTGTGATTCGTGAGAGAGAAGATTGAACTGAAAACTTTAATAAATTCAGAAGGATTTTAAACACCGAGAGGAAGTGTGCAAATTTGATGTGAGAGGTTACCGTTTGGAATGAGGAATATAAAAAATTTAACGGTCGAATTTTGGCTTTGCCAGATTAGGTTTTCGTCGAGTTTGAGATTCAAAATAAAGTTAGTAGGAAATTAGTATTTGGGATGGAGGCCCAACATCTAAAGGTCCCATTAATACCCAAATTGATATAGTTCTACCCATTCAGAATATAACTACAAACAAATCATCTTCCATACCATGTAAGGAAGGGAATAAGAAAAAAAAGCATTTTTATAAATGCAAAATGAGTATTTTGGTATACGGATAATAGCTCTCTACGTATTATGGTAATCCTGGATTCTTACTAAGGACATGTACTAACTCTGAGGTCTAATTGTATTTAAAAAAAAAATAGATGAAAAAAGAACTTTTTGTAAAGAATGAAATATATCGATGATAATGAACGGTTAATTTGTTCGTTCAAAGATAATGATTGCAAAAGTTCATCCAAATTGAGATTATTATCGTGAATATTTCATTGTTTATCGACAACATTATATCCATAGAGTATTGTACTCAAATGAATAATTAGCATAGTATTAACTAACTGTTAAGACTTTGATACAGTAAATCAGCAAGTTAGAAAAACATGTAGAGGTGGCAAACCGACCTATTAGGTTGTTACCCATTAACACCCGTTTAATTTGATATCACTATAATATAGAGGTGAGATTGGTATTGATGATGATGATGATGATGTAAGGTGAAATCAAACTAAATGGATCTTAATGGGTGCTCATTAATCACCCAACAAGTTGATTTGCCACCTCTAATGTCATACAAAGGCATGCATGTACACTGTAGCAAGCTTGAACATGATTCAATAAGTGTTAACAATGAATCATACATTGATAGGAAAAAAAATCTTGTATGTGCTTATACGTAAATTGAGTTAGTGCTACTTTCCAAATTTTTAATTAATTTTACGATGAAACATCTAACTTATTTTAATGTCATATTAATACAATTAATACAACTACATAGCTCGGCAACTGACGGCATCTTTTCTACATGATCCCTGGATCCGTGAATCGAGTTGGTAGTTTAGGCTTTTAGCAAATTACCAAAGCAGCAGGGGACCCAAATTAAATCATCCTAATTAATTAATCATTATACATCTTCTTTTTTTTTTTTTTTTTTTTTGGTCAATAATCATTATACATCTTCAACTAGAAGCAAAGCTACTAATCAAGTCAAGCCCACTATCTCGCTGCAATTTGCATGCCCTCATTTGACCTGTGACCAACTGCAAAATCATATAGTTTTTTAGTGGGATGATTCTTTTCAACGAAACATACACGTTTGCCTGATTTTTATACGTAAATATTGTTATATTCTTCTCACACTTGGCAGATTGATATGTTATTTCATCTCTTAATTAATGAAGTTTGAGCTTGACCACAAGCTCAATTGACCTAAACCCGGATACCATGCCCACAATCCTGGATAATTAATTATGCCTCCAAATCTAATTGCACAATTCATTATGAGTCAATTCGTGAAAAACAACTTGTATCAAACGTGTTCACTACCACGTTTCAATTCAATAACACAATGTTATGTGGAGAGAAATTTATACGCAACAGTGTATTATTGTACTAAAATACCACGGGACGATAAATATATGTTCCTATAATAAGTCCTCCTCCAATTTGTGAGCCGAGGTGAATTAGGGTTTAAAGGTCATGAGATTTGGATATGTCAATGAATTTACAATAAGATCCTATAGAACGTAACGATGCTATATATATATATATATATATATATATATATATATATTTGAACATGTAAAATAAACACATTTTCTTATACAGATAGAATCCACCTCCATTAGATTGCGTATTAAATAATTTTATTGCAATGTAACATTTAAATATATATACATATATATATCCTATATGTATTTTGAGTCAAAAATTTTCCTGTGGCACCATTTGACCTATCTGTACTGTATATCATAGTTTGTTGCACATCATCCATCACATAGCTAGCCTCCGCAGTTTTTGAGTCATGATAGGAAAGTTCCTTGCGGAGTAGAGTTGAAAAGATTACTTAAGTTGACTAACCCAGCCTTCGAACCCTACGCGGACCATGCACTAATCCTGCAAAACCATCTATATCATCATTGGAAAAGAAAAAAAAAGCGATCGATCGATCGATCTAAACCTAGCTGGCTGTTTGTCTACAGATCAGACAGAAGTAAGATGCAATCAAGTTTCAGCACAAAATTTTGAGTTTAATAATTAAGAAGTCAAACCCACATAAGTCACTTAAGAGAGCTACCATGAACACAACTTAATTGAAAGAAGAGATTTTTAAATTTCTTAACTGTTAAATTTTTAATTAAAATATAAAAAATAAGACATAACAATTAAATTCTCCTATGCTAGCTCAAGAACCCCATAGAAATTTAGATCAAAGAAATATGATGTAGTCAAAAAATTGAAATATGATGGTTCAGTCAAAACTTAATTGCAAAGCATGATTATAATATGATATTATAAAGTACACCTTAAAATATTATGACATTATGTAAAGCAAAATCCATTTCGCATTAACGATGATGAGTCTTCTATTGGAGATTTCAAGTTCAAGATAACGTCCCTGCAAAATGATTTATATTTGGAAGCTTTTTGAGTTTCAAACCTCAACAGGATCGACCCTAAGAATTTGGGTGACATAAGCGAACCTTTCAAGTGGAACCTAAAAAAAACAAGGGTGTTCAGAATTTGGTGTTTGTTTGGGGAAGGCGACAAAGGCCAAAGGGTTTGGCCATTTAGGGTTTGGTGTTTGGCTCTCTGGGGAGTGAGACAAAAGAAGTAAACAGGTTTGTTATTCAAGACAACGTAACTTGTTTGAATCGCTTGACATTTCACGTGTAAGACAAGTTTATTGTAGTTTATTCAATTAATTGTATAATATAATTAAATTTTACAAATATTGGGCCCAGCCGCTCATCCCAGTGAAATATTGTATTTAAACAAAAATTCAATGACTGTAATCTTTTCATTTTATAACATTAGTTATATATCGGGATGTGCTATCCACACATCTATTTTTACTTCTTACACATTTCTTGTTAATTTCTGTCCGTTGATCTTCTTCATTTCATCCGATCTGACGGCTGAAAATTAGAAAGTTGTGTGAAAAGTAAAAAATAGTGTGTGTGGATATCACATCTCTTAAATATATATATATATATATATATGTGTGTGTGTGTGTGTTTGTAATAAACCCCTCCTAGGTGGGGGCCTGTGCAGTCTGCCTACTCCGGCTACTCTCGAGGGTGGTCCTGGAAATCTCATGAAGTGTATAAAAACAAAGTGAAAACAATTATTGTGCTTTGTCCAGTTTAATATAATAACATATATATTGTTAGAGGAGGAATGGCTAAATGGATAAAGTATATATTTGTTATTTTAATTAACCGTATATATTAGCCATAAATCCAATTGTCCTCAGCAGTCAAACTGGATCAGTACTCCGTGGATGGAACGAAATATGAGCTGCTATAGCTGATGAGTGATATGATGCAACATGCATTTGTTTTTTGTTTTCAGTTTTCTGGACATCAAAGTTATGTTACGGTTCAAAGATAGCTGCAGATAAGCCAGCACTCGCTAGCTGCAGCATCGATTAATGGAGACTAGTGATGCAAGCTTTTGGATTACACAGAGTACGTGTACTGATCATGCAGTTGCAGGCTCACAACCACCATCATATATATATACACACACACACATACATAAACACACAGTGACACACACATATATTGGTATCAGTGGGACCCCTCCAAACTGAATCTGGTGCCTTTAATCCCACTCCTTCAGATGATCAGATCCCCTCACACAGACTCAAAGAGATACGAACCTTCTGAGTGGATGAATGTGAGAAGCAATAGATTGCATGTTATGATTTTAACTGCACTGTTTTCATAGGCTAGGAAAATGAAAAGTTACTGCAACATATATTGGAGGAAAACGATCTAGGGTTTCCCAAAACCCTAATTAGTAATTACCCTAGTTTTTATTCGAAGGAAACTAAATAAAATCGAGAGGGTATCCCAAAAACCCTAATACGAGCATTTCAAGGTTTCTGCAGGTTGAGTATTGAGAGAGAGAGAGAGAGAGAGAGAGAGAGAGAGAGAGAGACGATAGCATTGACTACCGCTGAAAGTGACTCAACTCTATGAGTTTGCTTCATCTCTGCTCGTTTGAAGGGACCTTCAATATCTCCCACTTCCAAGTTCCAACTACTTTCTGATTTGCACTCTGCTCTCTACTAAATGTCATAAATACCATCATTATTTTCACCTTCTCCTCGGTCATCTGCGCCTACTCCACTCTACTATCGATTTACTGACATACATATATTTACTATTTAACATGCACGTATATTATATAATGTATACAACCATATATACTAGTACTAGTACTACTATACCAGCTAGCTAGTTTGCTATGGCTCTATATAACAAACTATGCATGTACAATAATGTATTTTAACGATCCAATCGTTTATCTTTTATGTCTTATCTCAAGGATCAAGTTTACCAAAAATCATCAAAAATCGAAACTATATGACCGTTGGACCGAATTAATTTAGTGTTTCTTTGTAGAACTGTATTCGTCCATTTTCTTCACTCCAAATGAATGTCTTAATGGTTTTGGATTTGTCTAACATTTGGCAAAGATGATAAATGAATGATGCATTCAAATATATACAATTCGGATCGTTGAAACACATTACGAAGTTGACCCTACAAAATGAGTGTCAAAAGCTCATGTCCCGGATCCTAAACCCCATATATATTCAAAAAATGAAATTTTAGAAGGGCTGTTTTAATAAGACATCTTTCACACTAAGTAACACTTGCGTGGCATCGGATGAGACCAAAATACAAAAAATCTCATACTTTTGTACGAGTATGCCATACAAATAACAGAATCTTTTAAAGTCTTTGTCAACCTTACCAAAAGGGATCTGCACAATATATACAAGTACAAACAAAATTGAGCACATAAATACAGTGAATATTAAGATATGGAAAAAGAAATATTTGATGAAAGCTAGGGGCATAAATATAATGATTGTGGAGATAGAGATACTGGAGGAGGTTATGATGGTTATGAACGACAGTGCTAAATTTGGCTAAGTACAAAATAGTGGAGGGGGTTGAAGGTCGTGTTATATTCTCAAGCTTTGGAAGGCAATGCCAAGCCAAAACAGCTGCTATCATCATCCTCATGGCCACACACACCGTGCTATTTTTATTTTTTAGATGTCAATGAAACCCTCCCTCGCGTGCACGTAAAGAGAGCTTATGGGAAAAAGCTTAGGCCCCCATGTTTCCCCACCATATAATATACATACTTTCTGAGGATTTTCCGGAAAAGGAAGGTTTTTATTCGTCACATAATATGTGATGTAGATATTAGGTTTTTTAGTAAAAATAGTCTTTGAAATTGGCATAACTCTTTACTTTGTTTCTGAGATTTAAAATTGATAGAAGTGGTCATTGAGATTGTCCACCGTAAATCATTTTAGCCATTCCGTGAAAATCTCCATTAAATTGAGGGTATTTTTGTCAAATCAACTCCTTCGTACTTTAACTGGTGGTTTCTTCAATTTAACTGAATTTTTTCAGAAAATGACCAAAATGATTGACGGTGAACAATCTTATAGGCCACTTCTATTGATTTTAAATCTTAGGAACCGAAGTGAGAAGTTATACTAATCTTAGAGACTATTTTGGCTAAAAAGCTAGATATTATAGTTTGTTACTATATAGGTCTAATATTAGACAAGAGCCCTTTCACACTGTGTGTGTAACTTTTACAGAGTGAAATATTGTTAATCGTTGATGTTTATGTGTCAATGACAATAGAAGTGGGACTCACCAACAAGTATTAGAAAGTAGTTTCATTTTCGAAGCATATTCATAAAATTGTCTTGAAATTCATAATACTAAGTTAACTAGCAGTTTCAAAAGTTGTAGAATGGACTGGTTCGATTCTCTAGTAGTAATATTCAACTTTGGTTTGAAGATCGAATAAGTAGTATGCCTATGCTTCAACGAAGTCAATTTATTTCTAAGAAGTAGTTTTTTCTAACATAATTCACGTGTATGAATTGCCGAATATATGGCCAAAAATCCAAATAACTAATAATTCAACAACTAAAAATCACAGTGCATACTCACTAAATAACCCTAGCAGTTTAACTGCCATTTTTATGATGTGCTCTACTCAAGCTAACCTCCAAATTCCAATGAACAATAATTGCCGGAGGCCGCAACATGAAGTGCCAAACTAATAATCTAGCGATCACATTAAATATTCCCCAACCGCCTTATAATTCGACGTATTATTATATGAGAAATGTTGAAGAAACTTTTCTTAAATGGGTCTCTTTATGATTATTCGTTATCCCACAGCTTAACGCTAATTCTCATACAACTTTTACGATGTCTCCTTAACACTTCTCTTATATTTTTAATTGAATTAAAAGAAAATCTGATCAGAATGAACTCATATTAAATGTTATCCAAACTACAAAACACTCAAAAAGAAAAAGAAAATGGAGAAATCAATTAAAAAACTTTAAAAAATGAAAAAAAGAAGAAGAAGTAAGCTTAGGTGTAGGCTAGTCAAAGTCGTCTCTCGTGTGGTATATGAATACAAGAGGAATTAATGGAGGATTAAAGGGACTGTTTAATGGGCATGCGAAAACCATGTGATCCCAAGCATTCCTCCCTATAATAATTAAGACAAGATTAAGACACCAACCGTTAGCATTTGGCAATAGAAAAAACAAAGAATTTATGTTGGGTCCAGTTTAAGGGCACCCCCTCTCATTCCCCATAATCCTCTGTTAATCAATAATTACTTGCCAAGAACATCTGGTTTTGACCAGAATCTTGAGAAACTTTTTGTGTATACTCGGAACACTATCGCATCGTATTATTATTTCATATGATATAATATAGGCAGATGATATGGTTATGTGTTTATATTATATAATGTATATTAATAAGAAACAAATACGGGAGTGCTATAGTTTGAAGTGAAACAATACCATCATGTGACAATGTTTCTTTGTACATCTAAAAACTACATCAAAATATAGGTTTTTATAAGGGTATAAATGTCTTTTCGTAAGAGTGCTTGCCCTAGATAATACTCCAATTCTATTAGGTGCCATGTTCATTATTTTACTCACCTATTTAATCCTTACTGAATAGCACAGTCTTACTTCCCATCATATACACACAACTAGGAGGAGTGCTATATACTACAATATATATATATTTTCTCTTCTAGTTTAGCTTAGCAGCTTCTCCTCCTCCTCCTCCTTCTGGCCATGGTTATCATGGGCAAAACGCAGATCCTAATCTCCGTTTTGATTCTTGGGCTGTTTAGTTCTGAAAAGTGCAGCAGCCATGGAAGTGGAGTAGGAAGAGCTGTAAACAAAGAAGAAGAAGCCGACAGGATTGTGGGACTTCCCGGACAACCCAAGGTTTCGTTTCAGCAGTTTTCAGGATACGTGACAGTAAATCAACATGTTGGGAGATCCCTCTTTTACTGGCTCACTGAGGCTGCCCACAATCCCTTGTCAAAGCCGCTTGTTGTTTGGCTCAATGGAGGTAATTCTAAACCACTTATCTTCAATATATGTTTAGGGTTTACATCTATAGTTACGGCGATTAATCCTAAAGTTTGAGACAATATCAGCGTTGATTAGCAGTGACAGTTGGCTGCCTCGGAAATCTTTTCAATGTCTACTGACTGTTATATTGCTCAATTAATATATGTGGTTCAGATTTTGCCACATTTGTACTCTTGGTAGGTTAACTTATCCATATTTTTCTTCATTTATTATTGGAGCTGGATTTAAACTTGGGATCTTTTCTAACATTGTGAATGAGAAATATCAATAAACCAATAACTAGTTGGTTAACTTATTTCGCTTTAATTGGACAGGGAAATTTGGTTGCCGACATGTAATTATATGTCTATGTAAAAAAATTTATGAACATGCTTAGATTGCAAGTAAATATTTTGCTTGGTTTTTATATGCATTAACCGGCCGTGAACTTCTTTTTTATTTAGTTTCCTTTTTTTTTTTAGTTAGCTTCAATCTTTTTATACACATGAGGAACAAAAAGAAAAGAAAATTAGTAAAATATGGGATAAAAATATAGGAACCCAGAACTACCTGCATATATCATGACCTACCCATGGCCAAGAATGATGGCCTAACTACCACTGCATATATCAGAGACATACTCATACACAACCTTTTACCATTTCAAGCTCTCATAGACACATTGGAGAGATCCTATCATCACGTGATAAAAGAAATAAATCAGAAATAAAATATATTCCAGTTACATCCAAAATTTTGCCGAAGTTAAAATTCTAGACTTGAATTGCATGGATAGTGCTGACAACGAGTCTTTAATGCTATGAGAGCAACCAAAAACAAACTTCAATTATTAAGCCATAGCCAATTGCAGTTGTGTTTGCTACCTTTTCAGTATCAACTGGGGCATCATTAATATATCCTTGCACACACATGAGTAGCTAATTAAGCTTACCAAGCTCAATTAGATCCACCAAAGGACAAAGGCCTGTCATATGATTTTGGAACAAAATTCTTGGGTGCTCGGAGTGTTTTAACCATTATCTTAATTTTTGTATTTTAAACGACGATCTAACGGTTAAAATACCCAGAATACCAGGAAATTCAAAGCACTCAAGAAAGTCCCATTTTGGAATAAGGTTTGGAAGTTTTTAGTAAAATAAAGTCATCATTCTGCACTCTTCCTTAAAATCATAGGATGTAAACCGCAGTTAAATGATGCGATATTTTTTATGTCTCACAGTTCTTAATCAATAAGATATATATTTATAACATATATATAGTTCCTTCACTATTTTCTAACAACTGTGAATATTTTCATGATTGCATAAATTAGGTCCCGGCTGCTCTTCTGTGGCATATGGTGCATCGGAAGAGATAGGACCATTTAGAATAAACAAGAGTGCTTCAGGACTAAACTTGAACAAGTTCTCATGGAACACAGTTGCCAATCTCTTGTTCTTGGAAACTCCAGCCGGGGTCGGCTTCTCCTACAGCAACCGCTCCTCTGATCTCTTTGACACCGGTGATCGTCGCACTGGTAATTATCGTTAACCTAATTTACATCATTAGTTGCTTAATTAGTACCACACTTAATGATTTATGCACATCTGCAAGTGCATCAGTGTGTGATTAACTTTTAAGCACCGAGTGCTTATGATTGTTCTTTGAGTAGGAGGTACTAGGGCCATACCTATGTCGATCACGACTAGCTAACCAACTTATTAATTATAGTAAATGATTTATGGAAAGAGTCAACAACTACTGCTCCAAAATTAACACGTGGAATTCTGTTCAATTATTGCTTCTTCTTTTTTCATATAAATTGCCTTGATGAATTAAGATGAGAACCAATTTTTCCTAGTTGCGACGAGTTTGATGATCTTTAATTTTGCATGCCCCCTTTCAGCATTGTTGTCTATATATGCGGCATACTAATTTGGTGGGGCTGCTATAGACACTCTAAGAAACCATTCGAGTCTCAATCATTCATTTCTAGTAAAAACAGTACAAAATAAGTGAGTGCATATGATTGTTTTTTTTTAGTGCTAGCTAGTTACGGTTTATTTTTGTTCACTACCCTTAAGTAGTAGTAATACTCATCATTCTATTTATCATTTTTGAATAAGTTAAATTTTGAGATTTTTGTCTATCTAATACACAGATCTCGAAATTTAAACACATCTAATGATGATAAATAAGATGGCGAGAATTACCACTTGAGGGTTGTGAGCAAAAATATTCCCGACTAGTTAATAGCAACTCCCATTGATCATCTCTACACAATTAATATATACATATATATTTCATTCAGCGTGGTTTACTTACTGGTTAATCAGAGACGTCCAAATTTTTAAATCAAATTTTGTAAAACAAATTATGTGGTTGTTGATGATTGGATTATTACTTAAATGTTGATTAACATGTTTATTTCCTATTGGTGACACATCATTTGGTTTGCATAGCATTACCCTTATTTGTTTTCATTTGTGTTCGGATTGGAATAAGGGTATGCGAAACTGATTAATGGGGTGTTAATTATATTTCAGCAAAGGACTCATTGCAATTCATAATCCGATGGCTGGATCGATTCCCACGATACAAGGGCAGAGAAGTATATCTCACAGGCGAGAGCTATGCAGGACATTATGTTCCTCAGCTAGCCAAAGCAATTTTGACATACAATTCACAGTCCAAACACCCAATCAATCTTAAAGGAATAATGGTATACATCAAATTTAATTCATCTCTAATCCATTTAACATTCACTTATAGCTTATATATTTGACTAACGTTACTCTATTATACGAACGTGTGAACACATTAATTAACAGTTCATAAAACTATACAGTATGAAATATATGAGAACCCTTTGAGATCCATGAGTTAAAAAAGTTTTCTGTGATCGATCATTCGCGGTTGTACCATAGAATTTTCCATGTTGTGGATGTATACTGTCGAACTTACTGGTGAATCTACCTCAGATTAATTAGTTAACGCAAAATGCAGGTGGGTAATGCAGTGACAGACAACTACTACGATAACCTAGGAACGGTGACATACTGGTGGAGCCATGCAATGATCTCCGATAAAACCTACAAGCAACTGATCAACACATGCGATTTTAGGAGGCAGAAGAACTCAGATCAATGTGAGTCGTTGTATAGCTACGCCATGGATAAAGAGTTTGGAAACATAGACCAGTATAACATTTACGCACCACCATGCAACAACTCCGATGGAAGCACAAGAACTTCTACAAGGCAGACTGCTATGCATTTGCCTCATCGACCGGTATATATAATACAAATATTTCGTCAAGTATCTTCGATTATTTGCACATTAATAAGAATGTACTTACAAATCATTCCGTTTTTTACTTTTGCTCTCAAGATGTTCCGGCAAATATCCGGCTATGATCCTTGTACGGAGAAATATGCTGAACTTTATTACAACAGGCCAGATGTACAGAAAGCACTCCATGCCAACATAACCAAAATTCCTTATAAGTGGACTGCTTGCAGGTGATCAATACAACTCCAACATTTTTATTTTTCATTTCTTTTCCAGGTGGAGGGAGTGCTTACGTTTATCTTAGTTAACAGCTGATTAATTTGTGTAATTATTTGATGATATAAATTGCAGTGAGGTTTTAAATCGAAACTGGAACGACACAGATGTATCGGTTCTTCCTATTTACAGGGATATGATAACTGCCGGTTTAAGGATTTGGGTTTTCAGGTATATTATTTAACCTCTATAATTACTGTTTTATTTATTATCAAACTCTTTCCTCGTATGATATTAATTCATGATTATAACTTACTGAACTGATGCATATATGTATGTACGTATATATATAGTGGAGATGTGGACTCAGTGGTGCCAGTCACAGCCACTAGATATTCCCTTGCACAACTCAAATTGGCCACCAAAATTCCATGGTACCCCTGGTATACTAAGAAGCAGGTCAGTAAAATATTAATCTGGTATTGTAAAATTGAGTAACGATAGACAACTATATATATATATATATATATATAAATTTATGGTGTATATGCTGTGAAGGTCGGTGGGTGGACAGAGGTATACGAAGGGCTGACATTTGCAACAGTGAGAGGAGCAGGTCATGAAGTTCCACTTTTCAAGCCAAGAGCAGCTCTTGAGCTTTTCAGATCATTTATTCAAGGGAGGCCTCTTCCCAAATCCTCATGAAAATTGAAAAATAAAAAATAAAAGATAAATATAAAGACGTGAAAAGGAAAAAAATTATTCCTTGTCAATTCTAATACCAATTGGTCTTCTGAATTTTTATTGTCCTCCCAGCTTGACAAGAAATGTTCCGCAAGTGTTGAGAAACAAGTAGAGAGAAATGAGAGTATGATTATGTTTTAGGATAGGCATATGAGGTGAAATATGAAAAAGGTGTAGTTTGTAATTTGTGGTTGTTTGCTTCCCAGCATCAAGTGCGACTTTTGGTAGACCCAAGTGTAAAACTCCATTGATGGGGGTGTTTGATTCTTATTCAAAGTGTCAAGTGATGATTCAAATATTCGAACAACAATATGCTTTGTTCAAAATCCGACCTCGGAGTCTAAATCTACAATGCTTGAACCGTGTTGCTCGGCTAAACAAAATGTAAGTTGAGAATTGAGACGAACGATTTAGTGGGTTATGTTGTAAGGGAATGCGTAAGGACTCTTGTCTCCTTCGCAAGTTTTGGGCTCAACTTATCCAAAAGAGCTTTGTTGCTATGTACACTAGTGATTTTCAGATGAGGAGGCCCATTTGGCAAACATGCAAAGCTCTGCAAAAGTGGATCGATAGTTTCGTGTCGCCCGAACTTGGTACACAAGTGAGTTTCAATGGATGAGGTGCATGTTATTGATGATGTTAATATTCGATGCAATATCGTCATTCGCGTTATTGCCAGTACTTTAATGGGTCATTTTGACCCGTTTGTACCATAACACCGAATTTGGACATTAATCGGCAGATATTATTGGACGGCTCCTAACATCCCCCACATGTAATCCTCTTATTGACAACAGTAGACGTTTTCCGAACATTAAATCATACAACTCTTAACAATCTCCCTCACATAACCTCTTTGTCGATGTTATTTAGTACTACGGTCTAGTAGTATTCTTCTTCACTTGTAAGTGAGGTCTTATGTTCGATTTTCGTTAAAGGTGAATTTAAGCTATATTATTGTTATCTTATTGTGAGGCTTATGAAGATCATCTTCAATAGGAGAGATGTATTCCATTTACATTTTTCTCTTTGACAGATGACATCGACCTTCAAAGGATGTAAAGTTACATCTTTATTTACATTTTTCGACCAAAATAATTTTTTATATCTCGTCTATTAGAGAACTTTTCAGCAAACCAAAAATACAAAATACCTTAACTTAATGCATTTTGCACCTCCAATTGAAGATACTTTAACAATTTTCTTATAGGTCTTCTTCTCATAACTACATTTATAATTAGCCCAACCTATTTGTTCAACATAAAGTAGGGTTTCGTCATTAATGAAGTAATATTACTCAAAGGGTTTGGAGGAGCAAAAGCTTTTGTAAAATATTTTCTTTTCTTCGGCCCCATCGAATCGTGCATTTCACACTGTAAATCTTGAAGCTTGACATCCATTACATTAAAATTGAGAATTGAGACAAACCCCGTTGTTGTGTTGTTCTTGGATGCTTTCTTCCATTACATTATAAGTAACCTTATAAAGCTTAAGTAATGAAAATTCTTTAAATTGAAGCGACTGCCGATTCCCATTTGCATGTAAAATTGGACCGGAAACTCAAGGGGGAAGCATTCGCTGGTAACTAAAGCGCCACTCCTTGACTATGTCGTGGTGTTGATTGAATCCAATCCCTAAGTCCAGAAACGAAACAAAGTTCGTTTGCTTCATTTACATTAGGATAATCCTAGGGAGATCAAATTTGTAAATCAAATTTGCAAATCAAATTATGTGTCACTAATAAGAAATAAGTACGTTAATTAACACTTAAATAATTATTCAATCATCAACAACTACATCATTTAGTTTACAAAATTTAGTTAAAAATTCGATCTCCCTAGCATTACCTTTTATATTAATCTGAATAAGTTATAGTCAAACCATTAGTGATGGAAATTAATTACTGAAAGATTCTCATATAAATTAACCTAGACAGTGTTATAATTGTAATTATCTTTTTTTTTTCTTTTATTTAAGAAAAACAGGGACAATTGATGGCAAGTCACGATTATCTATCATTTCCGGGCCCAAATAGGCTATGGAGAATTTCACTAAGTGCCCGTGGTCACAGTCAAACAGACTTACCAGCTCAGAACATTGAACTTGGGACCCCGCACATTTTTTTGTTTATTGAGGAACCATAGTCTGCGTCCTTATTACTGGACCACTTTCCGTGGTTAATTGTAATTATCTATAGGTTTAATTAAATAGTTGGTTTTCTAGTTAAATTTTTGGGTTTTCTTTGGGGAGAAGGGGTTCTAAAAACTTGGCCCCTTTCCAACTAGCTGTATGCTAATTAAATTAAGTAACATATCTTGCATCTGCAGCACATTATCACAACCAATATTTCATGGGATGTTGTAGTGAACTATAGAGCTGCTAGACTCACTCAGTGTGCCATTCACATTATAATCCAACCAACCATATAAAAGTTAAAAAAAAAAAATTAAAATGTTAGTTTTAAACCCACTATTATTCCTAAAATAATATTTAATATGCTATTTCTCTACCCACTATTATTTCTAAAAAAATTGAAATGCTATTTCCCCAACAACAAAATATCCTTCGACAATAATCTACTAGTAAATGAATAACATTTAAAATGCTCTGTTGATGTGTGATTATGCACTCCAATAACTACCATAAATATCAAATCATCATCGATTTTTAGTTTCTTACCCTATAATTGGAAAGGGCATACACACTTTTTCGTTTTAGAATTCCTTATATCCTCATGCTTTATGCCTTTTTGCAAATTCGGCTTACTTATTGTTTCAAAATTTAGTGTAGGTCTAGGAAACCTGTTACCTTTCCATATCCAATCTATTTGTATTATATATCTTTTAAAGTCATTATCGGTCATTTTACAGATAAATGAACTTGTAATAAATAAAAAATTATTAAAAAATAATGCAGATATAAAACTAGGTGAAAAAAAACAACAGTTTTCTTTCATTATGTACTATTCGGTTGGAACTTCATTTGGATTTCATACACTTGCATCTTAGAAATGTCTTTGGTGTGACATTACAAATTCATGAATTTGGAGGTTGACTGGGACTTTTTGAGTTTGGTTGGAAGCAAAACATTTTTAGAGGACAAGAATGACTTCTCCTCTTCTCATTCAAAACTTATTCAAAAGGTTGTCTTCTGGAAAGGAAAGAAGATACTTTGTTTGACAAAACGGACAAAACGAACAAAACAGAAAAGAAAAAATATATATAAGGGATGGGAACCACATTATTTTAAAAAATAAGGACTAGTTGCAGGACTTACTCTATAGTTAACTTCAACAATTTGAACTGTCTATTTTTTTAAATTGTACCTTATAGATCATTTCTACAAAGATTCAATTCAATCCGAAATTATTTGCATACTTAATTGTCAAGATGAAATTTCAATAAAATAGTTCAAATTCATATTTTGGCAAAAATCGAACCTAAAACCTTTCACTTACAAATAAAAATGAATACCACTTTGTTTTAGAAGGAAATACAAGTACCTTACGCTATAAAATTGAGTACCACTAGTTTTGGTAATACAAGATAGTTATAGTATGCTAAAAGTACGATGATATAGCTTTCTTGAAAAATATGTGAAACATTCATGTGTGAAAAGTATGTACACTCGCAAGTGTTAATATGCGTTATGTTTGATTTTAAAAATTAGTATTTTAATGAATTATTCAAACGTAGCAGAAAACATAAGCATTTAAAAAAAAAAAACTACGCAAATATTTCATCGAATTTTGTTTGCAAAATGATGTCATTATTTAATTCATTTGAATCTATTCATGAGAAATCTAATTATTAAAGCCTCTGTAGTTTGTTTTTTAAGTCCGCCGTTAAATTTCAGGGCTCAACTCTAAATATGCGGTACCAAGCTCGAGTACATTAATTAGAATATTAATATACACATTAATATTAACAAACCAATTAATGAACAAATTTGATAACTAATTTTGATGACTCTAGTATTATTTTTAAAAATTAATTTGGCATGAATTATGTAAACGAAAACTAGTTATATAAGTTTTCAAAAATATAGCAAAGCAGAGGTTTTTGGTTTGTGGAAATTTTCTTCAAGCACAAGAAGTTGGTAGGTGTGATTTATCAAAATAAATTGATGGGGGTGTTTGATTCTTATTCAAAGTGTCAAGTGATGATTCAAATATTCGAACAACAATATGCTTTGTTCAAAATCCGACCTCGGAGTCTGAATCTACAATGCTTGAACCGTGTTGCTGGGCTAAACAAAATGTAAATTGAGAATTGAGACGAACGATTTAGTGGGTTATGTTGTAAGGGAATGTGTAAGGACTCTGTCTCCTTCACAAGTTTTGGGCTCAACTTATCCAAAAGAGCTTTGTTGCTATGCACACAAGTGATTTTCAGATGAGGAGGCCCATTTGGCAAACATGCAAAGCTCTGCAGAAGTGGATCCATAGTTTCGGGTCGCCCGAACTTGGTACACAAGTGAGTTTCAATGGATGAGGTGCATGGTATTGATGATGTTAATATTCGATGCAACATCGTCATTCGCGTTATTGCCAGTACTTTAATGGGTCATTTTGACCCGTTTGTACCATAACATGTAATCCCCTTATTGACAACAGTAGACGCTTCCCGAACATTAAATCATACAACTCTTAACAATCTTCCTCACATAACCTCTTTGTTGATGTCACTTAGTACTACGGTCTAGTAGTATTTTTCTTCACTTGTAAGTGAGGTCTTATGTTCGATTTTCATTAAAGGTGAATTTAAATCATATTATTGATATTCTATTGTAAGGCTTGTGAAGATCATCTTCAATAGGAGAGATGTATTCCATTTACTTTTTTCTCTTTGACTGACTACACCAACCTTCAAAGGAAGTAAAGTTACATCTTTATTTACATTTTTCGACCAAAATAATTTTTTATATCTCATCTATTAGAGAACTTTTCAGCAAACCAAAAATACAACATACCTTAACTTAATGCATTTTTCACCTCCAATTGAAGATACTTTAACAATTTTCTTATAGGTCTTCTTCTCATAACTACAATTATAATTAGCCCAACCTATTTGTTCAACATAAAGTAGGGTTTTGTCATTGATGAAGTAATATTACTCAAGGGGTTTGAAGGAGCAAAAGCTTTTGTAAATATATTTTCTTTTCTTCGGCCCCATCGAATCGTGCATTTCACACTGTAAATCTTGAAGCTTGGCAAGATCTTCTGTAACCTTTTTCAAAGATTAGCACCAATATATAGTTTCTATAACTATCAATACCCATATATAGGCATATATTGCATAAACAAATGAGTTAAGCCAATAAAGCACTTCTCAACTCTCCAAATTGTTTATAACCAATTTTTTCCATTACATTAAAATTGAGAGGTTATAAACAAATTTTTCCATTACATTAAAATTGAGAATTGAGACAAACCCCGTTGTTGTGTTGTTCTTGGATGCTTTCTTCCATTACATTATAAGTAACCTTATAAAGCTTAAGTAATGAAAATTCTTTAAATTGAAGCGACTGCCGATTCCCATTTGCATGTAAAATTGGACCGGAAACTCGAGGGGGAAGCATTCGCTAGTAACTAAAGCGCCACTCCTTGACTATGTCGTGGTGATGATTGAATCCAATCCTTAAGTCCAGAAACGAAACAAAGTTCGTTTGCTTCATTTATATTAGGATAATACTAGGGAGATCAAATTTTTAAACCAAATTTGCAAATCAAATTATGTGTCACTAATAAGAAATAAGTACGTTAATTAACACTTAAATAATAATTCAATCATCAACAACAAATCATTTAGTTTACAAAATTTGGTTAAAAATTCGATCTCCCTAGCATTACCTTTTATATTAATCTGAATAAGTTATAGTCAAACCATTAGTGATGGAAATTAATTACTGAAGGATTCTCATATAAATTAACCTAGATAGTGTTATAATTGTAATTATCCATATTTTTTCTTTTATTTTTAAAAAAGAGGGACAACTGGTGGCAAGTCACGATTATCCACCATTTTCGGGCCCAAATAGGCTATGGGGAATTTCACTAAGTGCTCGTGGCCATAGTCAAACAGACTCACCAGCTCGGAGCATTGAACTTGGGACCTCGCACATTTTTTTGTTTATTGGGGAACCATAGTCTGCGCCCTTATTACTGGACCACTTACTTCGGTTAATTGTATTTATCTATAGGTTTAATTAAATAGTTGGTTTTCTAGTTAAAATTTTGGGTTTTCTTTGGGGAGAAGGGGATTCTAAAAACTTGGCCCTTTTCCAACTAGCTGTATGCTAATTAAAGTAACATATCTTACATCTGCAGCACATTATCACAACCAATATTTCATGGGATGTTGCAGTGAACTATAGAGCTGCTAGACTCACTCAGTGTGCCATTCACATTATAATCCAACCAACCATATAAAAGTTTAAAAAAAAATTAAAACGTTAGTTTTAAACCCACTATTATTCCTAAAATAATATTTAATATGATATTTCTCCACCCACTATTATTTCTAAAAAAATTGAAATGCTATTTCCGGAACAACAAAATATCCTTCGATAATAATCTACTAGTAAATGAATAACCTTTAAAATGCTCTGTTGATATGTGATTATACACTCCAATAACTACCATAAATATCAAATCATCATCGATTTTTAGTTTCTTACCCTATAATTGGAAATGGCATGCACACTTTTTCGTTTTAGAATTCCTTATATCCTCATGCTTTATGCCTTTTTGCAAATTCGGCTTACTTAATTGTTTCAAAATTTAGTGTAGGTCTAGGAAACCTGTTACCTTTCCATATCCAATCTATTTGTATTATATATCTTTTAAAGTCATTATCGGTCATTTTACATGTGACAATCCGTTCCAAATTTTACGTTTTTATTTTATTTTAAAAGCTTGAATTTACTAAATTGCCCTAGAGGCAAGGACTTTGACTTCCGTTGACCATCGACTTGAGAGATGTGAGATTTATTCCTTAAGCATATCCTCGTATTACTCTTTGGTACAAACGTATAGGCGAAAGCCGTTTGCGAGTCCGGATTATAACGATATAGTTACGGACGTTTGAAATTGGTTATTCAAGGTTTAGTGTTTATTTAAATTAAATCCCCATTTTGTGGGGGAGGCCCAAAATCAGAAATGGAGGGAGGAAAGAAAGAAAAAAAAAAAAAAAAGAAGAAAAGGAGGTGGTTTCCGTCCACCCGCACCCACTGCGGGTCCATCTTCCAAGGCCGATTCCGGCCAATTCCGGTGGAGTTTTTGGATGCCACCACCACCATCTTGAAGCTCTCATTCCCCTCTACAAAACCCACCTAAGAACCACCTTGATTAACCATGGTATGGGGCGGTTTGAGGCCACGAAAGTTGACGAAAATCAATGGTGCTCCGGCCACCCTTTTCGATTTTCCGGCAAATCGGCAAAGCGATGGCCGATGCCACCACTTGGGCTTTGTAGCCCATCATCCCAGGAGAAAAACCCAACCAACCTTGACCCCGTTGGACCACCGTGGACGACGAATCGACGTCGGGAAGTTTTAGGCACCCACCGGCTTCGTGGGAAAAATTGACCATCTTCCGTCCACTTTTAGACTTCGTGGCAGGTATGAAAGTTGATCCACTCATTGAGATCTTCATTTCTGTGAAGTTTGAGAATTTTTGGAAATAGTTGGATTTTCCGGCGAGTCGGGGCGGCCGACCGCCACCCGCGGCGGCGCGTGCGGCGGCGCTTGGCCAGTGGGCCGCCAATGTTATTTTTAGGCTATGTCAAATGTCTTGAATTCAGTTTTGTCATTTGAATGACATAGGTTGGTAGTTGGAACCTAAATTCGTTACGATACATTACTTGATAAAAATGTGAATCGATGATCCGACCGTTGGATCGTCACCAAAATTGGATACATTATAATACGTAATATTTAAAGATCATAGGAATTTACGGATCGGGAATCTGACTTACGGATCTTCCTGAATTGGATTTGTAAGTTAGTAAAATAAATGTTCACGACCACTTGTTTTAGGCAATTGGCGGAGATCTGACCGTTGGATCGTAATGAAATTTTAATATGTTATTCTAGAAACATATTGTGGATCGTTGGGAGTTACGGATTGGAAATCTGATATGCAGATCTTCCGGGTCAAGTTATACAGGGTTGTAAACCCTACCGTCGATCTTTGATTGACGGTTGACTTGTGGTCAATGGGTATCAAACTATTTTAGAATGTCGTTGAGGTTGTGTTTTATGTGAATTACGTATTCTACAGATAAGAGTTCTGAGATGTGATTTGATAATTGGCCACAGGGACCGATCATTCAGGACGTCTCGATGCGTGCGCTAGAGAAGTATAGCGTGGACTCCAGGTGAGTGGATCTTTTCCTTTTTATTGTGCATATTATTGAGAGTTCTATCGACACTTTTAAATTGATTAGGTATATTACCTTCATATAATTATTGTGAATGCTTGAAGTACCTATATGAACTACGAATGGCTTGATCCCTATTTAGGGTACGTAGGCAGTCTAACGAGACGTTAGATGCAGCCATAAAATATTTGAGACAAAAGCCTTGCTTGGGAAATTGAGTAATGCGAAGGAAATTGGTAAAGACAAGTTTTAGTTTTGTAAATTAGTTAGTTAAATTAGAGTTAATTGGGTTGTCATGGATAATTATCTCTGAAAATAAGTAGTTTGGGAGTAGGGCGTTACTGATTGTACACTTCACACCATATTGTTTATAATTGAAAATGCTACGACATGGTTGAGTAGTAGATTGCATCATGATATATCCATATGTATATTACTTGCATATAATTATTGGGAATGCTTTCAAGTGCAAAGGTGAATTCAGGACACCCAGGTAAGTTCAGGTGAGTTTATGGTACTAGTTGAATCGATTGCGTTATAGCATGACTACAGTTATGAGTTAGGCAACTTCGATATTGTCGTACTGGTAGCCATAAAATACAGTCCTTCACGTGATGTTCACCTCCCGCACCTTACGCTCACCTTGGATCCAAGGTAGGTGCACAGTCCTGTCGTACAGACCACTTTAGGTGGTTCCGACTCGTAGGTGACCCGCGATTATTCGTCCAGTCTTCACGTGATCGTAGCACTCGAGCGTATTTATTTACACCCAGTCTTGTCGTACAGACCACTTTAGGTGGTTCCGACTCGTGTGCAGGTATACTTATTGAGCTATATGCTAGCCAGGATTGATGAGATATGGATAAGTCGTACAGGTCACTATAGGTGACTCCGACTTATATGCTAGCCAGGATTGACGAGATATGGATAAGTCGTACAGGTCATTATAGGTGACTCCGACTTATATGCTAGCCAGGATTGACGAGATATGGATAAGTCGTACAGGTCACTATAGGTGACTCCGACTTATATGCTAGCCATGATTGATGAGATACGGTTAAGTTGTACATGTCATTTTAGATGACTCTGACTGATATATCACTTTGTATTGATTTAGTTCATTTGGCCTACTTATTAATGTATGGTGGATTTGATGGCAAACCGTGGTTTTGGTCATTTCTGAGTATGGTTTGGATATATGTATATATGTTGTACTGTCTTATGGAAAACGATACGGGTTTTACATTTAGGGGCATTACTTTTAGAGAGGTAGTAACTTTGGGAAGCTTGGTTTATTGCTTACTCACACCTTCTGTTTGGTGCCCTCCAGGTTTTAGCTGCTGAGTTGTATCGACAAGAATCTGTAGCGAATCTTAGTATTGATGGATATTTCTGAGGGTATGATTCTTACCCACATTACTGTACCTTACTTATGCTCTGACATCGCGTGTAAAATGGGTTCGCTCCCACTCGTAGCGCACTTTGGTATTTAGACAATTTTAGATTCAAATTCATTCACTTTTTATACACTATCACATTTTATGGCTTCGTCACCTTCCAGGTGTCGGCCATCACAGCTCGATTCAGGGTCCAAGTGGACTTTCTGGGTCGGGATGTGTCATTACATATAAGTGAACTTGTAATAAATAAAATATTATTAAAAAATAGTGCAGATATAAAACTAGGTGAAAAAAAAAAACAACACTTTTCTTTCAATATGTACTATTCGGTTAGAACTTCATTTGGATTTCATACTCTTGCATCTTAGAAATGTCTTTGGTGTGACATTACAAATTCATGAATTTGGAGGTTGACTGGGACTTTTTGAGTTTGGTTGGAAGCAAAACATTTTTAGAGGACAAGAATGACTTGTCCTCTTCTCATTCAAAACTTATTCAAACGGTTGTCTTCTGGAAAGGAAAGAAGATACTTTGTTTGACAAAACGGACAAAACGAACAAAACAGAAAAGAAAAAATATATATAAGGGATGGGAACCACATTATTTTAAAAAATGAGGACTAGTTGTAGGACTTACTCTATAATTAACTTCAATAATCTGAACTATCTATTTTTTAAAATTGTACCTTATAGACCATCTCTACAAAAATTCAATTCAATTCGAAACTATTTGCATACTTAATTGTCAAGATGAAATTTCAATAATATCATTCAAATTCATCTTTTGGCGAGAATCGAACTTAAAACCTCTCACTTACAAATAAAAATGAATACCACTTTGTTTTAAAAGGAAATACATGTACCTTACGCTATAAAATTGAGTACCACTAGTGTTGGTAATACAAGATAGTTATAGTATGTTAAAAGTATGATGATATAGCTTTCTTGAAAAATATGTGAAACACTCATGTGTGAAAAATATGTACACTCGCAAGTGTTAATACGCGTTATGTTTGATTTTAAAAATTAGTATTTTAATGAATTATTCAAACGTAGCAGAAAACATAAGCATTTAAAAAAAAAAAAAAAACTACGCAAATATGAATGTAGTATGTACGCAAATTTAAACTAACAAAGAAATTTCATTGAATTTTGTTTGCAAAATGATGTCATTATTTAATTCATTTGAATCTATCCACGAGAAATCTAATTATTAAAGCCTCTGTAGTTTGTTTTTTAAGTCCGCCGTTAAATCTCAGGGCTTAACTCTAAACATGTAGTGGAAACTACCAAGCTCGAGTACATTAATTAGAATATTAATATACACATTAATATTAACAAACCAATTAATGAACAAATTTAATAACTAATTTTGATGACTCTAGTATTATTTTTAAAAATTAATTTGGCATGAATTATGTAAACGAAAACTAGTTATATAAGTTTTCAAAAATATAGTAAAGCAGAGGTTTTTGGTTTGTGGAAATTTTCTTCAAGCACAAGAAGTTGGTAGGTGTGATTTATCAAAATAAATCGAAATATGTGAAATGGACGGCTTTATTAAATATTGTCCACATGGAAAGTGGAGACACCACCATGGTAACTGAGTAACTTTATACTATATTTTTATCTTTATGGAAAAATTAAAAGACTAGTATTATACTTGTAATCCGGATCTCTACGTTCAGAGTCGTGGATTGAGAAATTTAGACTGTTTAAAAGAGAAAAAGATCCGAACTGTTCAAATTTTTTGAATTTTTATGAAGTACATCAGTGTAGTGACTAATGAAAGTCTTACGATTAAGATTAAGTGGTTTAAATCTCTCAATTCAAAAACACGAACATAGAAATTAAGAATAAATCCATATCCTCTAAATAATACATAAAATAATCGTCACATATTCAATATTCAGTTTTCAAATAGGTCGTTGAAAATATTCTTTGTTAAGCATCGTAGTCTGCATACAAGTTAGACGGTAGACTGAAACCGAGAAGGTCAAAGCATCCAAGCCCCCAAGTGGTGGTATTAAAATAAAAACAATAAAGTCCAAAGATTTCAATTGGAGAAAAGTATAGAAACCAAAATTATCCGAGAAAGTTGGGCTTCTTTGTATTTTCCTGAAAGAAAATTACACCGTTATATCCGCACAGTTTCTTGACTGCTGTTACTGGCTGCCAGATCTTTTGCTTCAACCATTTTTAAAGCTGAATTTTGGGGTCTCTTTGTTTTCCCTTTTTGTATGTATTGCAAATCTGCAACCTGCAAAAAGTTTGAATCCTGCGAAGAGAAAGAGGTAAGCATTTTTTCCGCTGTTAATTTGCTTTTTTCTGTTCAACTTTGGGATTTTCTGCACCTTATTGTTAATTTGCTTTTTTCTGTTCAACTTTGGGATGCAACTGATGACCAACTTTTTGAAAAGATTGGTGCTTTTTCCTAATTTAACAATAAAATATTGGTTTTTTTTCCTAATTTAACAATAAAATATTGTTTTTTTTTCTAATTTGACAATAAAAAGATTGATCCTGCTGTTTGCCGGACTTCTCATCCTCAGCCGCCTTTTGGATTCCTACTTGGTTTTTGGAGTGTTGTTCGTTGGGTTTTTGCCAGTTTTCAACATAGACTACTTGAGTGGATTCAAAAGTACTGATTTTTGGAGTTGTTTCACCAAAGGGGTATCTTTTGCTTTTCTGAATTTTGGAAGAAATTGGAGGGTTTTGGTTCAATTGCTGAAGTTGTTTCTTATACAGTGGTGGATTTTGAACTAGGAAGGGCCTGAAGTTCAACTCTTGTTCTTGATCCGAAAACCGGAAAGATTTGAGTTGGATTTGTTGGTTCATTTCTGGGTGTGTTTATTGTATGGTTATGGGGGATTGTAAATCTGTGAACCCGGAAATGGAAGGAGACTGCGATTTGATTGCTGCGGCGAAGAACATAGCGAGGGCATTGGGGTCGAAGAAGAACCTTACAGATGGTGAAAGGGAGGTTCTGGCTAATCTTGGCACCCAATTGTCCAGCATGATCAGACTCGGTGAGAGAACTGATGAGAAGGTAACTGAGGTGGCAGATCGCCTTAATTCGATTCAGGAGAGGATAATGAGGTGGGAGGCTGATCAGTCTATGATATGGGATTCGAGTCCGAATGAGTCTCTGGAGTATGTCAAGGCTGTGGAGGAGGCTCGGAGGTTGATCGAAAGATTGGAAGCGTCGTGTTTGGATAAAAATGATGAAGAGTGCGAGGTGTTGCATAGAGCTCATGATGTTCTTCAGACTGCAATGGCTAGGCTAGAGGAAGAGTTCAAGCACATGCTTGTTCAGAACAGGCAACCCTTTGAACCCGAGCACATGTCTTTTCGTTCTTGTGAAGAGGATATTATGGATGGAAGCTCGATAATCTCTTTTGGGGACGAATCGATTGAGGACTCACTTCGAAGGGATAGTGTTAGCAGAGCGTCTGAGGAAGTCATCATTGATTTGGTTCATCCCGATGTAGTTCCTGAGCTCAGAGGCATTGCAAATTTGATGTTCAATTGCAATTATGATCAGGAATGTACGCAAGCTTATAGCATCATCCGAAAGGAGGCATTGGATGAGTGCCTCTCCATTCTCGAAATCCAGAAGCTGAGTATTGAGGATGTGCTGAAGATGGAGTGGGGCTGCTTGAATTCCAAAATCAGAAGATGGGTCTGGGGTATGAAGATCTTCGTGCGAGTTTATCTAGCTAGCGAGAAATCGCTCAGCGATCAGATTTTTGGGGAGCTGGGACCGATTTATTTGGATTGTTTTGTTGAGGCATCAAAGGCTTCAATGCTGCAGCTTCTGAATTTTGGTGAAGCCATGTCTATTGGCCCCCACCAACCAGAAAAGTTGTTCCGCATTCTTGACATGTATGAGGTGCTTGCAGATGTTCTTCCCGATATAGATGCTTTATATGCGGACGAGGCTGGTTCTTCTCTAAGAATTGAGTGTCATGAGGTTCTGATGAAATTGGGTGAGTCTGTGAAGGCGACATTTAGTGAATTCGAGAGCGCCATTGCATCAAACCCCTCGACTAACCCTGTTGCTGGAGGAGGAGTACATCCTCTCACCAGATATGTGATGAATTACTTGAGGACTCTCACAGACTATGGAGAGACTTTTCATTTTCTCTTCGAGGAGAGCGATGATGCTGATTCCGTTTTGCTGTCTCCTGACACGAGTCCTACCTCAGAAGAGGAAAACAAAGCCACTGATTCTCCAGGCAGAATTTCCCTAATGGTTCACCAGTTCCGATCACTTACTTCAACTCTGGAAGGCAACCTTGATGAGAAGTCCAGGTTATATAAGGATCCTTCCTTGCAACACGTATTTTTGATGAACAATCTACGTTACATGGCTCAGAAGGTTAAGGGGGATGAACTGAGGCTCATTTTTGGAGACAGCTGGCTTAGAAAGTGCAACGGGAAAGTTCAACGGCACGCTATGAACTACCAGAGATCTAGTTGGAGTTCCATCCTTAATTTACTCAAAGAGGAGGGCATTCAAAATCCCGGTTCAAATTCTGTCTCAAAAACCCTCCTCAAGGAAAGGCTCCGCAGCTTTTACCTTGCGTTCGAGGAGATCTACAAGAGCCAAACAACGTGGCTCATTCCGGATCCTCAGCTTCGAAAAGATGTGCAAATCTCAGCGTCCCTGAATGTAATCCAAGCTTATAGGACATTCGTGGGAAGACATTCGAATGACATAAGTGACAAGCTCATCAAGTACAGTGCGGACGATTTGCAGAATTACCTCTTGGATCTCTTAGAGGGATCCCCGAAATCATTACAAAATTCCAGCAGGAGGTGACAGCAAAGTAGATGGTGTAGTCACCATTGTCTTGTTATTATTTTCAGCAGAGGACATATTTTGATTTTACGTTCCACTCTGCTGCTCATGTATGTTTTCGTGTGTGTAACGTTGTTATTTGATGAATCCGGTTCACTTTTGTGACCTCTGCATTGGATGTCATAACTGATATAAGATTGAATGAAGTAGAATTTCATTCGAAATTTTATGTGCTTTCGGTGAATCTGTTTCTCTTATTTTTTTGAAGTTTGTCAAATTTGGGTGGTGATTCTGTGATTAGTCCTCTCTGCTTCAGCTGCTGCTGCAAACTCAAAACTACAATACCAAGGTTAAAGTTTCAGAAAGTGATAGAAAGAAGAAATTCTCGTGTAATTAGCGATTCATCGTCAGATCACATGATGCGTGAGATAGACATGTAGTGATAAATCACAGGTTGCACGAAAAATTTCTCTAGAAAGGCTTGAAAGTTTAATGTATTTGAACTTGGGGAGCTACTTTCCATTTAACCGAGATACACACCCTTGTCTCTATCTCACTCATCAATTGAGCAAGCGTTTTACTCACAAACAAGATATCATAGACAAGGTAAAGGAAGTTGCGTGACGAGTGAGACAGAGTTACGTGAACATATTTCCGGCTGCATTTCCCGTTTTCCCCTCGAAGTCGAGGTCCAAGTCGTGGTAAGATTGTTCAGCAAGACTTGTCAAAATGGAGTCGCAAGCTTCTGGTCGCAATGTATTTCATTTTTTCGTCCAGTCCAGGTTGACATAGTTTGCCAACTGACATTTGACAGGACTGGGCTGCTAACTTTTATTACATGTAGGTCCCCGGAAAAGTTTGCTTTTGTTAGGAAATGCCATCAATTCAAGGTAATGGTAGTCCCTAGCGGTGGTTAGGGACATTGATGGAGAGCTGCCGTTTCTCTTATTTTTGTGGCTGAGAAGAAGCCCTAAGGCACTCTAGGGTCCGAGTCAAGCCTCCCAAGACCCCATACCAACTGCTTGATCTAACCTATATTTGTCTCGTGTCATGGAGAAGTTCTTGTATCCGCCAGCTGTGTACAACACATGACGAGGTGGTAGAACCCGCATGAGATCGGTTGTACCCGTCAGACAAGAGGGACTGGACCGTTGTATCAATGATTGGATGGGTGACCAGTGACATGGTTCGGTCTAAAGCCGAATCTAAAAATTTCTCCTTGCCGACAATGTAGGTTTTATTTGTCTCTCTCTTTTTGCACGTCCTTGCTTATTTTATTCATTCAGACGACCAGAAATAAACATTGGTAGGCATGACAAGATAAAAGAAAGCTCAGAAATCCCTTTTCGTAAAAGGGATTATGGTCTCGATTAGTCGAAAATAGTCAAATCCTGGAAAAAGCCACTTCAACTGGACAGATTCAGTTTGTTCTATCCAAGGTTTCAAATATGCAAATGCTTAATTAAAAGGGTATTTATTCTTCAACTGCATTGTTCCGAACAGAACATGAATTATGTTGAAAGGCAAATACAAAACCGCGGAAAATTCATCGTGAATTCATATCATATCGATACACATCTTCGATCTTAATGATTCTTTATATAACCGTTGGCAGCGAATGTTACACTCACAAGCTAACTATCTAATCAAAACTACCCAGTAAACTACAACACATAAAAACTATTACCATTCACTCTAATGATGCCGAGAGCAACACATCTTGAATTTGCAAAAACACAAAACATTAAAAACTCATTGCCTTTTAACCTTCTAATGTCGATGTTAGCCCACCGCACTGGTGGATAGTCTATTCATTGGCATGTATTTTCAGAAATTCTGAGCAGAAGACATTAGTTTGTTGCCGAGAACTGACCAGTTTATGCTAATTGGTAACTCATAAGGCCCAGAAAGGCTTTCGAGCTGTCACTGGAACGGAGTTGTTATTAGGTAATTCTTCATTAGTTTCCTCATCGTCATCATCTTCATCGTCACCATATTCCATTAGCTTGACCAGAGTATCTGAAAAACCCAAAACATTTCAGATCTCCATACATCATTAGTTAATCAAAACAGAATTCAAGAAATGAGCAGACAATAAACAATTCCACCATTTTTCTAATTTCCACCCCCACCCACGGACACACACGAATAACCTTTCTAATCCCATCAACTCATAGCTCATGCTTACCAGGAACATTATCAGGTTTTGTTTTCTTCAGAGCAATGTTCTTGTCAAGCACTTTAACAGCCTGTGTTGATGACGTAAATTTTGGTGGAGGTGGAGGTGGAGGCATGGTTCTAGGTGGGGGAGGTGGCATTCCATTTGATGCCGGCTGGACCAATTTCTTTGGAGCTGGCATCGTGGATACATTTCTCACACCAAAATCCTGCAGTCAGTTAGGGAGAACAGAAACCAAAAACAAAAACTAACAGCTCAATAACCAGAAAAAAGTGAATGTTTATGTGAAAAACAAATGAGGAATAATCTAAAGATTAATAGTTGCAACTAAGAAAATTAATCCAAAAAATGATTTCATATCATTGAACAAGTTTACAAACTGTTCTATAGCTTAACCACATGCGTATCACGTTTCTCTTAAGGCACAGTAATATTAACATTTCTAAATGGCTAAGTTCATAAAGGTAGTAATTGAAGGTTAGTTGTGAACTACATCTTGGAAGAGTACCAAAGGAAAAGGATATTCATGAGCAAGTCTAGAGCTATACTTGCTCCACAGATTCCATGAGCAAGTACAGATCAATAATGGCTCCACGGAATTTGATCTGTACAAGTACCTTTTGCTTTCAGAAAAAACATTCCATGAGTGGCACCCACCAGCATCCACAGCCAATTTTCAACCATCAACACCAATGCCGCTTTTAAGCCAATGCAACTGGAAGTATCAGTAGCTCAGAATTTGCATTTCAAACTCTTGAATCATCGAAACCATGGAGTTCTCATGAAATCCAAGTGAAGCTGGCAATGGTTGTGATGGGGTACCTCTTCTCGAGGAGTTTGGCTGTGCATGCTGCTGGTGACAGCACAAGAAGGAAACACTAGGATGCTCGTCAAGAAATGAAGAAATCCAACACTGGATTGACTTATGACAAATAGAAAACAAAATATATTCTTGTAACTTGATCCTAAGTATATGACATTAAACTAAACAGCAAGAAGTCTAAGTTGTCCGCAGAATAAAGCTCCAACCACAAGTGAACCCCAATGGCACCACCGAAATGAAAACCCTGTGAAAAATACAGACCAGTGGCCCAATAGAGAGGTTCAGTATCGGCCTCATAGAAAGTCAGAGAAAATACCTGGAATAGCGAGCATTGCAAGTCAGTACAAGATTCAACTACATTATAATGACAAAATATTAACTAAAAGCAACATTTATCAGCATCCATCTATCCAAATGATCAAGCTGTTGCTGAAGAAAACACAACATGACTAAAAAGTATATATATGCATGGGGAAAAAATAGCATGGTCATTTTTGGTATCTTTAGTCAAATTGATGGGAAGGCCACCCAATGACCACTGTCATGTTAGGCAAATTAGTCTCTCCTGTGTCCAAGCTAAGATATAGATATATTATATGGACAGTTAACTGGCTGAGCAAGAGACCTTACATTGACCTAGCATTAACACGTTCAACCTAGAGTTAGCAGTGTTTCTGTGAGCACAAATGGTCTTTGCTTTCTTAACTAATGAAGGCTGAAGAAGCTTTCAACAAAAAAATTATGCAATCAACATGAAATACGACTCCCCTCATAGCAGCCAACTTAAGAAAACTAAATAAAGAAAAGAGGCCCCTTGTTTCCCGACTCACGAAAATTCCTAAAGAAATACTTCCTGTTCTGACTTATTTTTCTGCAATTATATTCTACAAACTTGGACTCGACCAAGTTTAGTAAATTACATGTACATGTATAATTACATATTACTTTTAAGGTCCCTTTCTATTGGGGGATCCCTTCCATAACCTTATTTAGGGGACACATTATGGGGCATGCTCCAAATTTTATTTCAATGATCCAAACTGTCTATTTTTTAGGTATTCCCTCAAAGATCATCTTTGCAAAAAATTAGACAAACCAAAACCATTATGACATTGTTTAACCAAAAGAAATACACGAACACAATATTTCAAGAAACATTAAAATGATAACCATTTAATTGAGTGGCCACATGATGAGGATTTTAGTGAGATTTTGCAATGATGGTCATTGATGGAAGACCCAAAGCCTAGACAGTTCGGATCAAATACAATGCAGAATGAGCCCTACAAGGGTGTCCCTCAAATAAGACAAACAACCAAGGAGCTTGCACTCGTACCTGATGGACTTTTGCAGGACCAACTGGTAACTCCTGAAATTTCCGCCTTTGTGGAGGCTGTTTCTCCTTCTCAGAACCAGAGGTAACATTCACCTTTGGTTCAGTGCTTGGGGCTGATGTTGTGGGAGCAACTGTAGAAGTGATAGGGGAAGATGACTGTCTAAGGGCCAGAGCAACCTGTTGCAAAGGTGTGACTTGAGGATATATCCCTGCATATCCATTGTAGCTTGTTCCACTAGATAATAGAGGTTGGGGATAACCGCCAATGTTCGCCTGAGGTTGCGCACAGTTCAACAATCCTCCAGGTTGAGATACTGTCCCTTGAGAAAAGACAATAGCGACACCAGGAGTTCCAGCAGAGGAAACTGCCAGAGCTGGTGTAGCACCCACAGTTGGAGACACCAAACTTGTAATTGCTTTTACCTCAATTCCAGAACTTTGAACCCCGGCCAACTGATGCGGTGGTGGAACAGCACTATATACCTGCTGTGGGGGTGCAACAGCACTATAAACCTTAGATGATGAAACCCTATGACAGAAAATGGCAAAACGTTATGTACAATACCCAAGAACAAGCTACTGCAGAAAACAAACTAGCTAATGGAAACCGGATATTCATGCAATGAGCGGAATCATACACTCAAAGTTGTTACCATAACAAATTTAAGTTATACGTATTGGGTGAAACAAATATGTTTTTATAAGACGCAGAAACGATGAATATGTCTAATTGATAAATAATGAAAGGTTTGTGAATACAGGTAAACCACACTATACATTTCCCAAAATGAATGTAACAGATCACGAAAACAGGGAGAGAGCATGCCTTTTGTCATATTAGGTAAGAAGTCAGAACACTTGAACACTTCTAACCATGCAATGCCCACCAATTAAAATAATTACCTGGAGACACCACACTCTACACTGATTGTATCTAAAAGATTTTCAGCCAAAAGCTTAGCATCTTCAAGACTTTTTGAATTATTACTTGACAAGAATAAATGCAACGGCAGCTGTCCTTCTGCAAGCAAAATAAGAGAAAATACGTAACAATAACCAACAAAATAACCCGGTGCTCGAACAACAGGCTTGTAATAAGATTATAATGCATAAAGAAGGTGAAACCTTCGCCATGTATATTCTCAATATTTCCTGAACCACGCCCTCTGAGTGAGACAGTTGCTCCTGTTTCATTCATAATGTGATTTATAAACTGGTCCTGCACATACAAAATCGGACCACCACCAACACAAAAACAATTTCTCCCAATTGTATGGAGATGTCAGAGAAAGCTTCAAACATTAGAATCACGTATCTCCATCATGTGCAAAATAAACTTTAAATAAATTGCTCAAAAGAATTAAATCAACCATGCTTACAAGCATGAAGGTTATAATTAATAAATGTGCACAATACACACAATTAAACAAGCAATTTCAACATGATATCTAGAATGACAACAATTAAATGAGCTACACTAACTAACATAGGGTTATAGAATCTAAACTGAAATCCAGTTCTAACAAAATTCAAGCACTATGGAGAAAAGGAGAAGGCATGATGGGAAGGAAGAGAAAAGATGGAAAGAGAGTTGAAAAGTATCAACCACGAAGAACACACTGAACCCAGAGAATTTTAAGGTTACTGATAAGACGTGAAAAAGGGAGGAACAATGTAACTTACATTTGGACCACGTATACGAGCTGCAATGTTCAAGGATGGATCTGCGTCAAAGCCCAAATATACACAAGTACCTTGTGCCTGAGTAATCAAATTCCATTAGAGAACTTATGCCATCAATTTAAATACCACATAAAAGCTGACATATAATGCAATAATACCATCACTCCATTGCTCATAGTCGGATTCTGACCCTGTTTCAGCATTTCTTCAACCATGGCAGCTGCACGGTCAACTGCTAAAATACGTTCTGCTGTCTCTTTTAACTGGCAAGCCATGATTATGATGAAACCAAATCAAAATTCGTCCATGAAAATTTCTATTAAAGATGGACACTTTAACAGATAGCTAAGATAGGAGGTTTTTCAAAAGGGGATATGGCCTAAAGTTTACGATTATAGAGATCTTTGTTTAACTATCTAATCTTGACAGTTGACACAAATGAGAAAAATTTAAAATAACTTGCGTATGATGATGCCACATAATTTAAGAAAAAGAATCCAATCATGGATGGACAAAAAGAAACTCTCAGAACAACCAAATCTATTGCACACTTTTATAACCAAATCATGAAGCTAATTGACTTACATGAGCCCCTGAAGATATATGAAGATATAGTGGCTTTTCACCATCAGTTGATGAATTTGGTGGACGATACCTTCCCCTGTAAAGGCAATTCATTATATGTGTATCTATGACTATAAGCAAGAAAAACGAACAAATATAAATGCACTGAACTGACATTGAAAGCAAACCAACCTTGTTATCACCACAGCTCCCGTGCATTTTTGGATCTGCGAGTAATATACACCATCAATCTCAAAGAAAAGAACCATCCATTTCAAACAAAAATAAATAAAATATCTTAGGAAACACAAATTTTGAAAAACAAAAACAAAAAACACCTCCTCCTGTGTTTGGCGTTTTGTCAACTTGTAGCGAACTGAAGACTCTGCATCGTTAATAACAATTTCTCGTGCTATTATTAACTCATCTTGAATCTTCGGCTAGATTGCAAGTCATTGAACAAAACAAAAACGAAATTTGAAACTAATCAATCGGAATACTGAATTATGAGCAAGAAAAGAACAATAAAATCATAAGTGGATTAGATTAAAAAACCAAAACATATGGGGCAGGGGCAGCTTACAAAACATATACCCCAGAATTAAGAAATCATGAGTGGATGGCGAAAGTTTCTCCCAATCCTCATGCACATATACCAACTAAATGCAGCATAATTCAAGCAAAATGAAAATGCTCAAAAGTGAACTCACTTGAATTAATTTCTGAATGACCGTGGCAGTCTGTGGCGGGATCAGAGGTACCTGATATGCCTGAGGTATGGTAGCATAGCTGGCCGCAATTGCATTCATCGAAAGAGCACCAGTAACCGGAGTTGTGCCAGGAATTGTAATCCCACCAAGAAATCCCACATTTCCCATTGGGAGAGCCCCAGGCACTGCTAAACCAGCTGAAACCAAGGATGCTGCAGGTTGATCCCACTTTCTTTTCTTCCTGTACCAAGTGCTAAAGGTTTAACATATTTTCGTGAACCACATGATTTAAAACACAAATAGACAATCACACACGCACAAGATCAAGCTCAAGCTCGCCCACACATAATTCCCGCAATTAGACATCTTGAACTACACAATGAAATTCAATTATCTTTAGCAACTTTGGACGATGGAGATCATGGTTTCGACAACGCTACTGGCCGCGCAACTTTATCAGTAAGCCAAGACATCATGCCCAAACTATTTCAAGTAATGAACTTTAAATTTTATCCTTCCATCCTTAAAATTCCAATTCCAATACCAGTTAAAAAAATTAAGCAAAAATGTAGCTCAAGTCAAATATTCTAAAATTATTTTTCCCCAATATTTTACAAATATAAATAAATTGATAGTCAAATTTCACAAGCAGCAACACCAAAATTGCAAATATGAGAAAGCACCCAAGATAATAAAAACCCTAAAACACCCCTCCATGCAACCAGAACAAGGGCAAAAAAATCTATGATCCATGAACAAAACCCTAAAATAATAAAATTTTGAAGCGGAGGAAGAAAATCGAGAGAAAAATCACTGGGGTTTAATAAAAATACGAAATTTAAATTAGACAAAGGAATTAGGGTTTTAGCGGGGCAAGAAAGACGGCACCTTTGCCTTGTTTGTGAATCATCGCTGGGCACGTCGGATGAAACCCTAGCGCCACTCTCCTCCGTCATTGCTGCCGATTTTCGGTTACAGCCTCCGGCGGAGAGATAATCCGCTATAAATGTCTGGTTCTTTCTTTTTCCTTTTTTTTTTTTTTTTTGGTTTAATTTCCTCTCTTTTATTTTTCCACTTTGGGAGGAAGGCCCAATAAAGTAGATAATAAGTCCAAATAAATATAAAGAAGCCCACACACAATCAGGGTCCAGATCCTCAAACTGATCCAAGCCGTTCATAGAATCGTGCGGCTGAAAAAAATTGACAATTTTCTGACCACCACACTGTGCCGTGCTGTCGAGCATCCCAGCAATCCAAGTAGCAATCCCACCGCTTGCAGTGTCGTTTATTTAACAGCAGGCTCTCTCTCTCTCTCTCTCTCTCTCTCTCTCTTCACTTCCAGTGGAAAGCAAAAACCAGCTGCAAAATCCGCACCTCTCTTTGCTGCTGCAAGATCACCGGAAGAATCAGAATGGTATTGCTAATGTGGGGAGCTGAGCCACCGTCGCCGCCGCCGCTGGGTAAGAAGGGTGGAAGCTTGCGGGGTCTGATCAGCAGGGGTGTGGTGCGTAGTGTGAGGGGTGCAGGTACAGATAATGGGTTCCCATTGTTTCTTCCAAAGGAGGTTGAAAAAATTAAGGACCCGTACGCCAGAACGTTGGCTCGGAGGATGGAGAGGCTCCCTGTGCCGGTAACCCACTAATCGCTTTCTCATTTTTTGGTTAATGTCCCTCATTTCTTTTCTTTACAAAGACGATACTCTAATTTACGTGGGGAGAAATCACGAGCTGGAGCTCCAGTGATAAATAGCAGATTACGAGACTTTCTTAAAATTATAAATTAGAGATCTCAAGTTTAAAAAACCGTTGCTGGCGTACAAGCTAGACTTTGGGAAGGTTAAAATAGCTCTACGAGTCTTCTAGCCCTCAGAATGGATATGGATAGATAACTATCGTTTGCTATCGGTTATCTTTTTAAAGGAAAAAAGATTTGCGAGGAGAGAGAGTTTGATGCGGAAAGAGGAAACTGGTCTAATCCACGTCTAAAATGTATGTTTAGTATCACTAATTATGATATTTTATCATGAGATAGATTGAGATAAATGATTTTCGTACACTATTTTCTTCATTTTCTCTTGCACGTCGTGAGGAGAAGAGGAACGAAAATCACGTTCTTTCGGATTAAAGGGATTCTTTATTTTTGCCATCTTTGTCTCGAAAGTCAAAAAAAAATATTTAAAAAATTTGGAGGATTATTCGATGTCATTCAACGAAAGGAACGGGTCCTTTTGCCATTTTTGTGAGGATGGAACTCACTGGATACAAGGGGTATAATAGTCAATTCGATAAGGTGGGAATATTCTATGTCATAAAATATGGTTTCTGAATATTTATTTACTAAATTATTTCTAGTTACAGTAAAAAAAAAAAAAAAACTCACAAAATAACCAAAGCCAAAGGTACTAATTTTTTCCAAGTTTTTATTTAAGATGAAACTTTAATATTTTCAGTTCAAATTTTACAATGTAGTAAATTTGGTTAACTTTAGTTGCGATCAATGGCAGTTCCAAGATTTTTAGTATGTGGTTGAGTTGAAATATTCATTGGAATTGTATCTGGTATATGGCTTGTGATGAAATGATTCACAATTTTCTCATCCACTTTGAAGTTATTCATTGACTAATGGCGGAAGCCGGTTGTGATTGCAGATAGGGTCGTCGGAAAGTTGTATTATGAGTAGTTGTGTAAGGCCTTTAAAACAAAGTGAGATCAATCCGGTGGTTCTACTCCATTGCTTTGACAGGTTTGTAATGCTTGCAAATTGCAGATTGACCGATACAATGTGAAGTCGTGTTGAACATGTTCCGTCATGTTTGTATCTTTTTTAGTTCTTGTTTAGAATGGAGGTGCGTGTACCCCCTGCTTGAAGAGGCTGGGTTGGAGGCTTGGGCTGTTGATGTTCTTGGGTGGGGCTTCTCTGATTTAGGTTATTTACCTGTCTTTTCCTCTTTGTTTTTCGACTTGATTGAGTTGTATACTTCCCGTCTCTTTTCTTGCCACAAGTGATTAATTTAATTCCGCTTAATCATTTGTTATCTGTACTAGAAAGGCGTCCACCATGCAGCGCGGCATCCAAGCGTGATCACCTCTATCAGGTGTCTATGCAATGTGATTTCCTTTTGCTTATTCTTTCGTTGGTCCACTAAACGTTGTTTCAGCCTCTCTACAATGGTGTAGACATTTTGTTATGTTAACTGGATTTCACATTTCAATTACAGTTTTGGAAGTCGTACATCAGAAGACCGATGATATTAGTTGGACCAAGCCTCGGTGGTTCTGTTGCAATTGACTTTGCATACCACTATCCAGTAGCTGTGAGTGTTGGTCATATTGAGATCCATAGCTCAAGATGTGTTGTTTAAGAAATTATACAGTGTGCATTTAATGGATTGATTTTATCTTTTATTTACAGGTCGAAAAGCTGGTTTTAATCAATGCAAGCGTCTATGCAGAAGGCATCGGAGACATGGCAAAGTTACCTAAAGCTGTAGCCTATGCTGGGGTGGGTGTCCACTTACAGTGGTATTTCAATCCTACGTGAATTCTCTTTTAATGCGCTTGCCAATCGTCTGATCTTTTTATTCACCAGGTTTCTTTATTGAAGAGCACCCCTCTACGCTTCTACGCAAATATGCTGGCCTTCAACGGCATTTCATTAGCTACAACCTTCGATTGGACTAATGTAAGATTTTCTGTTTGTATCAATAATACTTCTTTGTTCATACTCCAATTGGAACATACTGCCGAAACTTTTATCTTGGCATATTTGTCCTACGAGCTAACAGAGATTGTGTTATATTCAGGTCGGCCGCTTACACTGTCTGCAGCCTTGGTGGAAAGATGCAACTGTCAGTTTTATGACTAGTGGTGGCTATAATGTTATTTCTCAAATAAAACAGGTAAACTCTCGCCATCTTAATGAATACGGTACTTGAGTGGTAAACAGAATTCCGAAAGTCAGGGCGGGCAATACTAATCTTAAAACCCTGTTAATGTACGGGGGCAAATAAGCATTTGTGCAATAACATTATGAAACCGTATTTTACAGGTGAAGCAGAAAGTGCTTGTGATTTGCAGCGAGCAAGATAATATTATCAGCTACAAACAAACATTGGTAAGTTTTGAGCCGCTACCTGCTACTTAACTTTTGCTGTTATACTTGAACTGTGCATGTTTCACAATCATTTTAAGATGGAGGACTTAAAATTATTCTCTGAATCTTAAAAAGTGCACGAGAGATTGTTGAAATCGTTCCAAAATGCTCAACGGGCCTGTTTGCAGCATTTCGCAAACCCAACTTCAAAATCGATAGGCCTGTTTGAAGCATTTTGGAGAACTCGAGGCTAAATGTAGTGTGTGTGTGTGTGTGTGTGTGACCGCTGACTTTACCGCGTTCTAGCAAGTAGAAAGTAGAAACTGGAAGACATCCCAAAACGTCAACATTCATGCATTACTTAATTCAGTCTTGTTCCTTGTAAGTGATCTGCAGAGGTTACGCTGTGAGCTTCCGTTTGCAATCATGCGGCTAATACCAGATACCGGTCATCTCCCTCACGTCGAGAATCCCGCCTCCGTTGCAAAGCTAATTGCAGAGTTTGCTCGGAACGATCGTTGCTGAAGGGGACTGCGGCAGAACTTATGGGACTTATTCCCCGCTAAGAGGCCTATTGTTCTTCTTGGCAATACCAATGTTTTTCTTTAAACACTTCTTTTAATAGTTCTAATTCGTAGTTCCGGAACAGTTAGCAAAGAAATTTACGAATATTAGAGACGAGATATAGTTATGATTAAAATGTTTGGAATTCCGCTTCTCTAATATCCCTTATATTGAAAAATAAGGGAGGAGAATTCAAATGTCTTTTTCACGTTTGAAAGAAAAATACCACTAAACTAAGATCTAACACAAAATATTTACTAGCTATACGTAGACATCATATTTTGGACGATATGCATAGACGTTGCGGTCTATATAAGATGAGTTTAAATAATTAAAAAACGTGATAAATTATGAGTCCAAATCTTGAGGATTCATGAATCGTGTTCGTTTATCATATATTGTGCCGTTATTATATTCGTTTATTATGTTGTGCTGCTAGAAATCATTTTAAATATTTTTATTTAAAAATAAATGTAAACAATACTTGAAAAAAATTAAATCGTGTTCGTACATCATATATTGTGCGGTTAGAAATCATTTTAAATATTTTTATTTAAAAATAAACATAAACAGTATTTGAAAAAAATTGACCGTACAATATATAATAAACGAACACCTCACGATTCACGGATTCTCATCCTCATCAAAATAATCCAAAGAAGATTATAAATTATGAGCAAGATCATTAAATATAAAAAATCAACGATATAAATCTGGAAATATTTGAACCTGTTACTCAAATAAAGCAACGTACGAAAAAAAATTTATTTTGTCTCTAAAACGAAACGTAACGGTGCGTTTCGCACGACTCTAGTTTCTTTCGGTTACTAAGCCCTAGATTCCTTTCATCCCTTCCGTCTTAAACCCTGCTGCTAGCCCGCTCACACCTCTCTCTCCCCTCCTCCTCTTTCTCTCTCTATAATCTCTTCCACCAGAGAAGCAGAGAGATGGACGCCGACGGAAATTCCGAAGAGCCGTCGCGTCTGGTCCTCGTCCGCTTCAAAACGGACCTCGGCCACCCCTACAAAGTTCCAGAATCCTCCATTTCCATCCCCGCCAATCTCACCCGCTTCGGCCTCTCGACCGTCGTCAACAACCTCATCAAATCAGGTAACCTGTCATATTCCCACACATGTTTTTCCATCCGCCATTGTTTATCTGATTGGCTGCTGCCTGTGGAAAAAAAAAGGATTTTGCTTTTTGGTGTTCTGAAGCTATGATTGGTGATTGTGATCAGGAAACCCCGATTGGGAATCGGAGCCTTTCGATTTTCTTATCAAGAATGAGCTGGTTCGAATGTCGCTCGAAAAGTTCCTTCTTGCCAAGAACATTTCCGCGGTGCGTATCTCCGATTTTTTGGATTCAATTTGCAATTTGTTGTGTGAATTGTGTGCATAAGTTTTCTGATAAAATGCTGTAACCTTTATGTAATTGCAAGCAACATGGAAATAGAGAGGAATGCTGAGAGAATGGTCAAAAGTGACGGGATTGGAACAGCGGAATTTAGAAAGTTATCAGCTTGGTTAATGATAGGCTTCACCACAGGATTTGTAATTTACTTGTTCCATCTTAAAACGAGATAAAGTGAAGTTGAAAAACGAAACATAGTTTTTTGTTCATTAGACGGGATTTCTAAGTTACACTTCGTTAGGTGTAACTTTGGACATAGGATTTAATTGCTTCAAGTTCCATCGTAAAGTTCCTCGGAATTTTGTAAAGTCTGTTTCAGAGTCTTCAAACTGGATACTTAAGAAACCAACAAGAGTTAATCTAATTGGGTAAATTACTTCGGTCAGCCTCATAACATGAGTTTTGCAATTGTGTTTCTGGTTTCACAACTAGGAAAAAATTGAGTTTATCGATTATTTAATTGCGCTTTAATATACTGGTTGGGTTAGGAATCAGATTTATTTTTGGTCTATTTTAAATTTTAGTGTCAATTGTGGATGCTATCTTCTAAATTAGAGTGGAATGGGTCTTGTGTTGAATATGTTGCTTTAACGAGTTTATTTTAGGTAAGTTTATTTCATTATTGTCATTTTTTCCATCTTTTTTATTTGATATCTAACGATAGGTTTATGATTATTACAGGAGAGGATATTGGAAATTGAATATATACGGGCTGTGGTCCCACGCAAAGAAGAAGAACCTTCTTTACATAATGACTGGGTCAGTGCAGTTGATGGTTCTAGTCCCAGGTATACCCACCACAATTTGTAATGTGTACTACATATCTTCACGGAAGTCTATAAATACTTGGTTGCTCCTAAAGTGTGTAGCGATAAACTCTTATCCTGCATGGCTTGGGTGCAGTATGTAAACAATAAGGATATATCTGTTGCTAATAAAGTGTGAAGTTGGAGTAAATTTTTTGAGCTGAGGAGTTGTAGTTAGGTCCTCTTATTAAGTAAGGTGGCATGGAATAGCTATCTTGAAAAGTATTATTTTCAGTTCTACTCCAAGTCTCTTCAGAGGAAACCTTCAATTGTCATTTCTCGGAATATGTTAACTTGCATTGTGGTGCAATATGAAGTTATTTCTGAAACATTATCTTAAATTTGATATTCTTGTTTTGGCCCAAAAGTAGTTTGAAACTCCTGTAATTTGTATTCTATGGCAGGTTCTTTTTGACAGGCTGCTACGATGGTTTGGGAAGGTAATTGCTCTAAAAAGTTTTGATTCTTTTCTTGTGTACCTTATGATTTCTCATGTGGATACACCCAAAATAAGGAAGCTTGTTATTTGCTTTTGTTGAATTTGGTCTTCTTTTAGGGTATGGAAAGCTGCTGGAGCATGTACACATATTCTGGAAGGACACAGTGAACCTGTTACTTCAGTTAGTATAATCAATCCAAAAGGTAGCTATAAGATCTAACTGTTGATAATTGGCTTATTCCTTGTTGAATGTGGCCACAATACTGTTTTAATCAGTTCTTTAGTGAATGTCAATTAACGCTGCCAACTACTTGCATTTTTTCAGTTCTGAGTTTTCGAGGACCAATTTATTATGGCATCCTCATTGTTTTTGCTTTTGGATTCGAAATTTTTTTAATGTCTAATGGGATACTTCTGTGCATGAATTTTTGTGTGTTAGGAGGTGGTTTTTTTACCTGGTAGCTGATTAGGTGGTGCAGTTCCCAATATCTATATTATCTTGTCACAAGTGCTTAAGCTGTTATTCATCTTCTTATGCAGGTGGAGACAGTGTTACCGTAGCTACTGCTTCGAAAGATCGGACACTGAGGCTGTGGAAGGTAATTGGATGACCATACTGTTATCACAAGGATAGTATGATGTGTATACTAATATTTATTATTTTTTTTTTGGGGAAGTTCAATGCAGAAGAGACCCAAAAAAATCCTTTGAAGATAAGAGCATTCAAAATTTTACGTGGACATACAGCAGCTGTTCAAAGTGTTGCTGCTCAGACCTCTGGAAACATGGTCTTGTCTACTTCTGATTTCCAATATGTAATTTGATAAGTAGTGTACATGAGATTGGGCTTTGTCTATAACTTACCTTTTCTTTTGTCTTCTTACATATGATTAGGTCTGTTCAGGCTCTTGGGATTCTACTATCAATTTATGGCAGACAAATGAGCCTGATTCAGAAGGTGATACTGTGTCAACGAAGAAGAGAAAAAAGACTGGTCAAGAAAAGGAATCGCAGTGGGAGGTATGTGATATGCTTGTATATTGAATTTTATATAGAGGGGTTTAATAATTTTTGGGGTGACATTCAATTGACTAAGTGGGGACAGGCTTATTAAATATTTAACTCAGGTTGCACACGGTATGTACAACTTCCGAGCCCTAACAAATGGCTCATCACTTTGTTATCGGTTGAAATTTTTGCACTAGAGAATTCTTGATGGTTTCTTTGGTTCTGCATATGAATTAAATTTCATAATGTTATGCAAAACAATATTTTTTGATCTAATGTAGAAGTAATGGAAAGATTAATTCATTTAAGGGAAATGTCTATGTAAGAAAAATAGATCAATTATATCCTTGAAGGGGATGCCTAACTGGTTTTTTAATTTATTAAAGAGTTGTTCAGCTAGAAATCAATGACGTGTTTACTTTTTTTAGATTTAAAAGATTATTGCATTAATGATCGTGGTAATTGATAGTTATGGTTGTAGTAATGAGCCAGATTGTTTTCCCTGGTAATTGATAGTTATGATAAATTATACGTCACAGGGGGAGGCTGTTTCTTCTCTAGTAGGCCATACACAATGCGTATCTACTGTAAAGTGGCCGGAGCCTAAAACAATTTATTCTGCATCGTGGGACCATTCCATTAAAGAGTGGAATGTCGAGAGAGGCACGGCCACGTCGACAATAGTAAGTGCAAATAGCCTTAGCATTCTGTTGTCTGAAGTCTTTTTTCACAACCATGCTTATGTACTTTCTGTGGCATCAAATCACACAACATCCTGGCATTTGCTCTCTCAGAGTTATTAAATATGCATGTGGTAACATTCTCCTTGTGACAGTACCATGATAAAGTACTCAACTGCATTGATATTGGAGGTGAAGGTTCTGCTTTGATTGCTGCTGGTGGTTCTGACCCCATTGTTAGGGTATGGGATCCTCGTAAACCAGGTCCGTTAGACTTCTCAAGTGTTCTGCTCTCTCTCTCTCTCTCTCTCTCTCTCAGCGCACACAAACACAAACAAACTAAAGAACACAAACATCTGACGTGGAGGTTTTATTTATTTCCTAGGAACTTCTGCTTCTATCAAAACTTTCTCATCTCACACTTCTTGGGTTACGGCATGCAAGTGGCATCAGAAGTCTCCATTTCATTTAGTCTCCGCATCTTATGATGGAAAAGTTATGCTGTGGGATACGAGAACTGCTGTATGCCTCCTCCTTGTTTTTGTTTTCTTACAATGGTTCACGACTTCTGCCCAGTGTGACCTTTAGATGAATTTGTTACTCAATAATAGTGTTTTCTCTTGCAGTGGCCCTTGTTTGTCTTTGATTCACACAAGGACAAGGTACAACATTATTCTCTCTTTCTATCATTTTAATGTCCTTTTTTCGTTAGTGTTCTAAAATTCAATCTATTTCTTAACTGTGAAATTTGCTGTAACTCAGGCGCTATGTGCTGACTGGTGGAAAGGTGATACTGTGCTTAGTGGTGGTGCAGATTTCAAGCTTTGCATGACTTCCGGGGTTTCTGTGCTATGAGAGGTAAAAGTTCCAACTTTTATAGGTTATTTGGAAAATTTAATGTCCATCCCAACTATCAAAGCACAGAAACTTGTCGTATACCTACACACATTAGAGAAACAAGACAACGTATCTATCAGTTTTAAACCTTTATTTGTTCGTCTGGGTGCATATCTACATGGACGAGTTTTGCCTTGAAAGTTTGTGTTGATTTGATAATCCTGCTTTCTGCTGTACTTCATATGTGGCATTAAAAGCTCAAAGATTCTGTCTCGAAACGTTTTGCTTTAGTTTGTTCTGTTGCGTGATGATAATTTCAGTATTTCTGCCATTGCTTTCAGCCATAAGCAGAAGAGTGATTTAAAGATGGAAGGACTTTTGCATCGCTTACCGCATGCTTGAATCTCTACGTGTTTCATGATCGTCTGGAAATTGGTTGCGAGAATGGAGGCAATCTGAGTATTGTGTCTACGGGGGATGTTTGACCGTGGCTTTTGGTGCCTCACATGGCCGGAGAATATATAGTCTCGGAGCTATTTTTTGGTCCAAGGCAGACTCTGGCTCTCGTTGTACGATTGCTTGATTATATCTTATAATTTTTTTGGTAACTTTGTACTTTTGGAGGTTTGCTTCAATTCTGTAAACGGTGGTCCGTCCTATCATTAATTTTATCAGTCTTAAAATTTAGCGTTGTTCTTTCGCGTGCGTTTGCCCAAATTACGAACATATACGCTATAATTCATAACACAAGTGGAGGGATGTTTGAAAGAAAATAAAAATCCTTCCACTCTACTTGTATAACATATTGCTTTGTGTTCCGAGCACATTGAAATGTTGAAAAGTTTCTGTGCGTTGGAGGACTTGAGGATTGCAATTGTGTAAGCTGAGAATCCAAGTGGACGGGAGGGGAGAATAAATTTTTGAGAACTTACGAAAAGCTCCAAATACTATTCATTTTAACAAAAATCACATTTTTAATCTAAAAAGTCAATCATGTTATTATTCATTTTACCTTTTATTTTGTAGTTTTCAAGCTCTTTTAATTAATTTTCTTTAAAAATTTTTGTTTTAACCAATTTTAAAAAATACACCCTTAGTTAACAGATGCTTAAGGTTCACCCGAAATCAACCAAAAAAAAATTGGGTGATTAATGGGTTCAACTGTTAACATTTTTTATAACAAATGATATTATCAACGAACCGTTAACCACTCAACAACTCGTTAAGTCTACACCCAAATGCTGATTTAAACGGGGTGGGTTAGATTGGGTCGGGTTAGTCGGTTGGGTTGAAGTTGCCACTCCTAACTGTGGGAATGGATTTTGGCGCGAGAATTCGGTTAATTAATTTCCAGTTCCTATTTTACCCCTGCGACCTCCGTTGATGAGTTTGTTAGGGGCGGTTGAATTCCGTTGATGAGTTTGTTAGAGGCACTGAGCAGTGTAATTAGAGAGAGAGAGAGAGAGAGAGAGAGAGAGAGAGAGAGAGAGTGAGTTAGAGAGAGAAAGACTATAAATAGCCGCACATAGCTAGTTCATTTCTTCATAGTTTTTCATAGCACAATGGCCTTCAACTTTCTCTCTCTGAATTTCCCAAAACTCCCTCTAGATCTCTGCCTCTCTCTCTCTCTCACTCATCTTCTTTCTTTTTCTTTCTCTCTCATCTACTTTCTCTCTCTTTCTCGCTCTCTCTTCTTGCCGTGCTTCTTGCACATCATGCAAGCCGCCGCCGTACCGGAATGGCAGCGTCAGTTTGATCTGTGGTTTCTCACTCTGCTCGACCACCTCTGCGAGTCTGAAAGAATTTGGACCATGGGATGTCCACTGGCGCGTCTTAAACAAGATTTCCGTCACGCAAGCGGCCTCGAAATCGATCACCGCTCGTTGGGCTTCAACAACTTGAGTGGATTCATTTCCAGCGGTTACTCGCACCTGTGTACGATGGAAAGGATCGGCGGTAGAAGGAATCGAAATCTGTTCGTCCGCCCCATCAAGACTCCTCCTACTCGTCAGGACACTAATTATAAGGTCGCCGATATCTACCGCCTCGTACCTTTTGTTATCGCAGTCTTTCTGTACTTTGTTTTCACCATCGACACCGACAACGATAACATGAAACACTAGTGATGTCAGCCTTTGAGGAGGAGGAGGAGGAGGAGGAGGCCTCTGATGTTTGTTTCTTTAATTTCCGCGAGATCTTAGGCTAGGCTGATTAGGCGAGGCTTGGCTTAGGGTTTGTTGTATTTTCCGCGAGGTCAAGAAGGTGCATGCATGGTGAGGAGATATTTTGGGTGAATACGACTTCTTGGCACAATATGATGTTCTTTTAGAAAATCTTGATGTAATAGTATAATTCCATTACAAAAAGCTTCTACGTTTTACTTCATTTTCTTGATATTTCCAGTTTGATGTTTTGTCTACGTACTTTTCTTATTTATTTTTTATGTAATTTTGCAATCTTTATTATATTTAGAGGTAGACGGACACGTGAGAACGAACCTTGATGCAATATAATAATTGTTTCTTTATAACCAAAATGTTATGAGTACGAGTCTTGAAATTAAACTCTTTAAAAATTAAGGGTACGACAATCCATACGATAGATGTTGCTCCTCACTCTCACGTACATAACAGAAAACCTTGCTCTCTTGAGTCGCCCTTAGAACTGCACAGACACGTGATCTGGATAGTGAATCCCAAATTTTTTTGAGGTTTTTTGAAATGGGTCAAAGTAACAAAAAATTCGATCTATTTCAAAAATCAAAAATCATTAAAAATTAAATTTATTTCACAAAATAATTTATAAAATTAAACCTATTTCAAATTTTTTCATTTTCAGAGATCTGCCTTTGTCTTCCATATTGCTTTCCACGAGTTTATTAAAAGATCTGGGAAAAGTGAGCTGCCTTTTGCAGGTGGGCCTGTTTGCTCGTGCGAGATCCCGTGAGTGTGAGCCAACCGTTAAAATGACTGAACTACCCTTACAAAATGACTAAAGTACCATTAATGAGTGATATTGTAAGTAATTTTCTTGTTAGCAAATAAATACCTTAAAAATTTAAAGAAAAACTAATAAAAAGGGTTTGAAAATTTTGAGTTTTAACGATAATGACAAGATAAAAGGTAAAAGGAATAGTACTAGGATTGACTTTTTAGTGTGAAAATATGATTTTTCGTTAAAGTGAACAGTACCGGAAGTTTTTTGTTAAAATTCCCAAAATTTAAACCCTAATAACATGTCTACTTATCTTAGATTCTCAAGCGAAGCTCACACAAAATCAAGAATTCAACCTCTAAAGAAATGATTTGGATCCCTAAGTTGGGAAGTAACATTATAATTGCTCAAGAAAAAACTCATTATGAGTCTGTATTTTGTGTTCATTCTACGCTTCTACTGTTTTTAAAATGTCAAATTTGTCCAAATTTAGTCAAGAATAATTTGTTTAGGACATGAGTATTTTAATAATACTGGTTTCAATTCAAACTCAGTGCATTGGTAAAACAATTTTTGTAGAATTAATATTGGGTAGTGCTATTCACATCTATTTTTATTTTCCACACATCTTATTAAATTTGTGTCCATTGATATTGTTCAATTCATTTAATCCGACAGTCAAAAATTGAGAGGGTGCATGGAAAGTAAAAATAGGTGTGTGAATAACAACACCCTTAATAATTTCATCCCCTTGATAGACTCCGAATTTCCGACTCATCCTCAATTCTTTGAAAGGTCGATTACCCAAGAAAATTTGCCTATTTATTTAAATCCAAGTTCGAAACCCATTCGCCTAAATTGAATAGTTTCGGATATCGTTCTAAAAATTCCCGTCTAGCACTCTCTAATTAGTCTTTACGCATTTTAAAATTAAGAAAGTGCGCCTAGAGTCACTTAGGCGTTCGCCTAACCCACCTAGGTCGTGACTTCCACTTAGACATAAAATTGTTAACATTTTATTTTGTCAATAAGACTTGGATGAACACTCATTCAATGTTTGTTCCCCATGTTTTCAATATCTTCTAATACTTTCTAATCTATATATCATTTTATTTTGTAATTTATGTATCCCAATACAATTATGTGTTTTTTTTAAGTATAAATAGACACTTATTATATAATAATATAATAAATTTACTTAAATTTGCCTAGCCTGCATAAGCCTCGCTTGAATGCTAGGCCCTAACCCACCGCTCGACAGCGTCTAGCGTCTTTTAGAGCATTGGTTTCGAATTCCCTCACCAATAAGTTTCAATGTTTCATGACCTTTTATTGTTATAGAAGAAAATTGATGGTGCATGCATATTATTGGGGGGTATTAAAGTCATTACATGGATGGTCAAACACAATGGGGTGCCCCTGAACTTGAGTGGAAGCCGCTTACCATTGCCAATTTGACGCCGCGTACAAAAAAGCTTTAGGCCTCTCAGTCCCTGCGCCATTGCATTTCTTCTCCTCCTATTTCTCTGCTCTCTCTCTCTCTCTCTCTCTCTCTCTCTCTCATCCTAATCCAATAATCCGTCCACACTAACAATTCCCCACATTTTTTCTTATCCTTCCCAGAATCATGGGGTCTCTCCAACTCCTTTCAGATTAGCTCAACCGTTTTCCACCAGGTTTTTATATCTATACGTTTTCTGTATAATTATATTCCTCTGTGTGCATGAATTTTTTGGGAATCTGAAGGAAATATGGATCATCTGATCAAGTGTTTGAATTTCTGTAAAATGTCATGTGATGTGATCGTTAATGTGGACATGCATGTGTGTTTAGTTTGATCATTGATGAATTTGGTTTTCTGGGTTACTATTGCTTGAATTTTTGAAATTTAATTAGTAGTTGAATTTCGTGGAACTTGAAGTCGTAGAATTTGGGTTTTGTTTGGAAAAGTCATATTTTTATTTTGTTGTTTGTAATATTTTATTGTAAAATAAACAATTTGAAGTAAAAATTATGTAAATACTCTTTAATTTGATGAAATAAGTTTTCTGGGTTCGCATTGTTTAATTTTTTTAAATTTGACTTGTAATTGAAAATTGTGAAGCTTAAATTATAGAATCTGGGTTTTGTTGGAACAAGATTATTTATTTATTTTTATGTTTTTGTGTGCCTAATATCTTGGTAAAGATCAGAACTTTTAATTTCTTGCAGGAAGAGATGGGTACAATTTCATTGCCTGAAATGGCAGTTGGGGTTATTCACCACTGCCCCTTTGCATCTTCAGGTCCACATTGCAAGTATGATAGGAGTGTATGCCGCCTGGGGCGGCGTCCTCTTGTCCTCAGAACTAATTCGAATAGAAAAAAGTGTGTAATTTCTCTCCGCTGATGCGCCTGTGAATTTATAATTTCATTCCTACATTGTTTGTTGACATTTTACTATATTTCTTTCTTTTAAATGTGGCGGAAACTGTTGTAAGTTATTTGAAGGTTGCGTTTTCAATATGATGACCAAAACAAAATTCGTGCAGGAACCTTTTCTACACGCCACATTGGCTATGTAAATCAAGAACTAGTATTTTTTCAAGCATGGTAATGTCTCTTCATGCTAAAGGAATGATGTATTTCTCCTCATAGTATTCACAGCTTTTGCGACTCATGGCTTCTGATTTATTTTTTTACAGGATGATTCCACTGACACTTTTACCGACGTGGCTAACACTTCAGGTAGTAGTGAAGTGTTGAATATAGAAG